GTGTGTACCTCCGTATTCTCATACTTCACCGCCTATACTGACATTACATCGTACAGACGAGATCTTGCGAGCGCGTATACGTACGCTGGGTATTGCGGAGTACAAGTTTCAGCTGGACACGAGTATGTATCCCCGCTTTACTGCTCAACCTGGACGGCACCTTATGGCCGCAGCTGGCAATGTGCTGGAGCGCCAGTGGGTTGTCTACGACGTCGGCGGACATACCTCGCTGGTACGCCCTTTCTTTCAGCTTACTCCACTCAATTCAAATGACCCTGATCCGCGCCTTCTCGTCCTGCAGCGCGCGAAATGGGCACAATACTTCGAAGACGTGAACGCGATCATCTTCCTCGCGCCGATCTCGTGCTTTGACCAGACGCTCGAGGAAGATGTGAACGTGAACCGGATCGAGGACAGCGTGAACCTATGGAAGACGATCGTGTCGAACAAACTCCTCGCCAAGACGAACATCATCCTGTTCCTCAACAAGTGTGATATTCTCAAGCAGAAGCTCGAGGCCGGCGTGCCATTCGGCAAGTATATCACGAGCTACGGGTCCAGGCCAAATACGTTCGAGGGCACCAGCACATGTGAGTACTGTTACCTGAGGATCGTCGTTGCACTTTCTGATGCTGAGAACGTACTACAGACATGAGGCGGAAATTCCAGCAGATCTTCGTCGAAAACTCCCCGTGCGTTCGGGCATTCGGGCAGATATCCGACGGTCGTCACTGATAGGCTTTCCGTGTTTTACAGCGAGAAAAGGCCGTTTTACTGCAACTTCACATCTGTAACAGATCCTAAATCGACGTCGCTTCTCCTGCGAGACGTTACGGAGATCGTCCTACGGGAACACCTCAACAAGAGCGCACTCGTGAGCCGTCTCTTTCTCGTCCACCTCCCAGTTGTTGCCCTCGCCCCTTCTCATTCTCCCATTACGCTGTCGTACCTGGCGGACTGATTGGCTGACGGGGCCTCCCTGTCAGGTATAGATCATCAACTAACGCCCGGACGCCCCCTTCACGACGACCACGACCCGACCTCAACTACACCCCTGTGCACCCTGCTATCGACGGACGGTTACTCTTGCTGTGTTTCAACTTTATTCCCTATCTTCTATCGCGTCCTGTCTACACCGTTTGCTCGCTTCGTTCTCTTGCAATCGCAATCTTGCCTGTGCTATAGCTCATACACCCGCTCCACTCACGAGAAAAGAAAGATACATCAAACTACCGATACATGCATGGCGCGAGAAAAGTAATCTAATCGCAGGCCTCTGCGACGAAACCCTGTAATCATGTCGTCAATTATGTGCGATTACGGAGCAGAGAGCCTGCTCACCGGTCGCACGAATGTGAAGTAGTGCATCGAGGTGTATGCTCTTGCGTAGCCAACCTCCGCGTATACGTACATGTACTCCCATTTGCGCTTGAAGGCTGCTAACGCTTCGGGATCCGCGAGTTGGGGCTGGTCTTTCACTAATGCAGCGATGGTTTGCTCATTCCAGTTCTTCTCCAGCCGACTGAAGCCGAACGTGGGTCAGCGGTATCACACACTATGATGAATGGGCATATACTGACTAGCCCCATTCGCGCAGCGTTCTCGGATAGTCTACGTGTCGATTCCGTCAGCGGCGCTTACTGGGCAGATGTGGCACCGAAGACTCACGGATTCCGAAGTCTTCTGCGCTCTCGAGTGCGAAGCGCCCTTGCGTCGCTTCTGCGCAAGTCGAGACGAAGGAAGTGGCGGATGGGCAGAAGGAGTTGGGCCATTGGTATTGTCGCGCGTAGTCATTGGCTCTGTGCGGGGGATAGCTTGGTGAGTCTAACTGTTGAGCACACAGTGAATAACGACTAACTGGTGTATTGTGTAGCGATTCTCAGGTTGTGTCGTCGCAGTGATGATAGCCGCAGCGCGATCTGGTTTCAGGGCCCAGTCCAAGATCTGGAAGAAACGAGGGAGATACTTGTATCCCGCGGCCTATACGCACGCGCCTGTCAGCTTGCTGTCTGCCATAGAAACGCCTGAAACGCACCTCGACCATCTCTACGCTCACGAACCCATCGAAGGCGTGCTCGAACTCGGCTGGCAGGTTCCTGTAGTCGCATAGATGCACGCGCACTCTACCCGTCAACCCCTCCTTCTCTATCCTTTCCTCCGCCAACGCCTTCTGGTTCACGCTCAACGTGATGGTGTCGACCTCGCAACCCATCTTGCCCGCCGCAATTGACAACGCGCCCCAACCGGATCCAAACTCCAACAGGCGGTCGCCAGGGCGTAAACGTGCTTTGCGGAGGAGATGCGCGATCTTGTGGCGTTGCGCGGCTTCGAGGTCGGACTCTTGTGAGCCGCGCGGCGTCAAGTCGCCGCGGATACCACCCGTTGATTCGGGCCACAGGGCGGAGGAATATGTCATGTCGGGGCTTAGGAAGCTTTGGAAGAAGGCGTTGGAGCAGTCGTAGCCGGTGATCACGTTTAGCTTTGCGTTGGATAGTGACTGTCCGAACATGCGGACCATAGCGACGGAGGCGGCCTCGCGGAGCATGCTCATCGTTGTCCATAGGCCAGTTAGCGTGTCTTCGTTGTCGAGATAGAGCTGTGTCACGTCAGGATCCCTGCGGTGTACTCGGATGTGAATGTATGCGCACGTTTAGGACATCCTTGAGGCTCGAGACCTCGACATCACCGGCCATGAAGGCCTCGGAGACTGCAATATGCGTCAGTCATATGGGGCGGGTAGTGCGATGCTGGACGTACAGCCCAGTCCGTGCGAGAGATATATCCTTGTCCAGAACTCATCATTCTTCACCACCAGCTTCACTGTCCGCTGACCCTCCTCGCCTACTTGTCCGTATTCGCGTGTCTGTCCGGTGCGGTCCTCGATGACGAGCAGGCCGCGGGTGACGCCCTGTTGCAGAGCGCTCTCTATACATGAGCGGGCTTGTTGGCGATCAATACAACTGCGTGCAGCGGAACGGTCTGGTGCCACACACCGTACTGAGCTGGGGCAGCTCGCAAAGCTTGTTGAACAGCGCCCAGTGACGGGAGCATGGTGTCGGATAAATCGGTGGTTCTATATCCACCTTTCGCTTGCCTCGCCTTTATAAGCTTCGTGACGGGGGCTGAGCCGTACGAGCCATCATTGTCCCGTCCACCGCCCGCCGGTGCACGTTTGATAGGCCAGAAGCACCAGGTGGATGGACCAACTTGTCGGCTAGTACACGGCGCGCTGCAGGCTATACGTTTCCCTATTCCGACACCAACGGCAACGGATTGAGCGTATCCGCGCGGTGTAGGGATCGTCGATGATGAAAAGCCTTTGCAGAGCTTGCTGGCGAAGGTGTCGCCATGACTTTCTGTTAGAACTCCGAAACGAATACTGCTAGCTCGAGTTGTTGCTTCCCCTGCTTCTTCTGCCAATCCCGCGCGCGGAAGACAACGGACCCGTTCTTCTGGGCTGCTCATTACGCAGTCGCCTCATGCTTCGCGCGTGCCGCGATCCGGGTGGAACGACACAGATTTCCGTAAGAGCAAGGCTCTCGCCGCCAACGGCGACGACTTCGTGGCATGGGAATCCATCACAACAGGATAAAGCCTGCAGTCATCCATATATGTTTATCTCTACGACTCGCTGACTAAGTCGTGAGAACATAGAGTACATGTGTGATCATAGATATCGTCGGAGGCTTACGGGTGCTTCAGGCGACAGGCGTTCAGACTAAGCCGACCTAATGTAACATGTAATCGGTCATCCCGTTTTCGAACTCGATACCGGCACGACATGCACAGGATATCTGCGCTCATGCATCGCGCTCAACAGGCGGATTACCTTGTCAGTCCACCTGGGCACAACTCAACCATCGAGGGCGCGAGCAGTGTACTACGCGTGCGAGTCCGCAGCGTGCAGGTGTCATACCCTATCGGCCGCTCTGATCCTTTTTGAGCTTTGACTGCGCCCAGTGAACGGCCTGTGTTTCTGATTTTTCTGACTGAGTTCTCAGTTCTGACTGTCGAGCTACGTGTTTGGAGGGCGCGCCGAGCAGTTTCATCCATACGGCCAGATCCTCCGTCTGATGTGCATGGAGGTGGTGTAGTGTCACGTACTTGCCGCATGTAGTCAAAGTACTCGGACTGATGGAGTACTTAATCATGATGTCTGCATCCGGTGCATGCTACACTGACAGTTTTGATTAGCATCCCTTGTGGCGTGGACGACAATCGTGGTGCTTGGCATGCTCTCGCCGAGATCTGCTTCCTGACTCCGACACGCGTACGCATGGGACTCTGCGTCAGTACAACATACATCAAATTGTACAGGTGGCCTAGATAGTGATAGATAAGTAGGTACATCGAAGATCGAATCGCGCGTCCACCGTCATACCGGGCTCTTGAGCCTGTCGTCCTTTCCGAGGTCAACCTTCTGCAAGGCAATCTGCGAATCTGCATCCGATGCCGTGAAGTTCTCAATGCTGACCATCACCTCCTGCCTCCGGTTCCGGCGGCTGCCAGCAGTTGATGGCAGCGAAGCATGGTTCGCGGTAGAGTTCGATGAGGTGGTCATCCGGGAGAGTCCCGCGCGGATGATGATCATGTAGAATGTGATCGGGATGATTTGCCCTGTCTGCGAACCAGCCCCGGAGATGAGAAGAAGTTCTCGGAGCTAGAACTGAGCACTTACGATGTTAATGATGAAGAACAGACTGTTAGAGCCGCGAGTGTAGGTGATGATCATGACGATAAGACAGATGGTGTACAGGAGACCACACTCGACGAGGAGTTTGATCACGGGTATCAAACTCGAGGTGCGGTATTGCGCGACCACCGAGTTGACCTGCCACAGTTTGTAGGCAAACAGGCCTGCGCCATGTCAGATAACGATAGGAAGCCGCAGACGTGGAACTCACCTGTCGCGATAGCATTCGTAGTGAGCGTTAGAATATAGAAGGACAGTACCCAATGGGCATTCTCGACGAATATATTCGCAGATGTCGTGAGTGGGAGGGAGATGGACCAGACGGTATGCGTTCCTGTCGCTGCGATGCCGGCGTTGAATACGGAAGGCTTCCGGAAAGTAAGTATGGGCGCATACCTGCGACAGCACACCATAGAATGCAAGGCAAGATGATGACGCGCCAGTCACCCCATACGATGAAGCATCGGTAGATCTAGGCCATCGTGTCAATTCCTCTGTACGCAGGGATCGGAAAGACCACGGCGCACCAAGATACCATCTCCCAAAAGGGTTTGAAGCTCATAAATAGCGTTCTTGAACGTCTCCTTGGTGGTATCGCTAAAGTAGAGCTCAGGGTCTGGAGAACGCAAGAATCCGGTATAGACATGGTTGGAGTCGACGCCGATGCGCTGCATAGCGGAGATCAGCATACAACCCATGTATGAAAGCAGTGCTTTGCACTCACGATGGTGCTCAGGATGAAAAGTAGACAGGCGACCGCAAAGATAACCTTGTGAACTTTCTGGGAGCTCCTCCGGTAGATGATAACCCACAGAGTGGTGCCAAACATGAATAACGAGAAACCTATCGTGCGGCTGAGTCTCAAGTACAAAGGATGCAGCGACGACACGAACCGTATAATATGCCCTCGACGATGACTGAGAGCATTTCGCCTTCGGAGACAGTGAAGCCCATGATGAGATGTTCGTCGCGAGGACCGGCAAGAACAGGGAGCAGGGGAGCGGAGCTGCCGAGTCGCAGTTGAGCCTTGTCCCATATGTAACTTCCGGCGATCGACTTTGTACGTCGTCACACGGCATAGCCAGTCAAGCCCCGAACAACCTCAGAAGATTATCAGAACCGACTTGGTGCACATCATGGGAGTGCATCGCACGGATGCCCGGGGCGAGCCGTCCGACACTACTGCATTCAGCTCCCCATCAGTAGATGCACAGACAAGTTCGAGTCCCAACGTGGTCACAACTCCCTCACTTCCTCTGACAGCGAGGCCGATCAAAGGGATGATAGGGTTGCATGGACTGCGGTCCGTGTGGTCCATGAGAAAGAATGGTCAGCGATTCGATGGCGCGAGCCGATCCGAACGTTCGCGGATCCTCGCGTACGCAGGAGTCACTAGCGCAGGATGTTCTAGGGTATAGTGATTACAGCACGACAATCTACAGCTTGGCCTGAAATAGTCGATTGTTCAGAAGAGAGTAGACCACCTCCGCCAGACGCTCAGGTATCTCTTGAACAATCTGTGCGATGCGTCAGGGGTGTGCATGCTACTTGCGATGCGTATCACTCACTAGATGTCCTGCACCGTCCACACGTGTTACTGAAGCTGGTTTACGGCCCTTCGTCGCGTCTATAAGCGAATCTTGGCCGTAACGAGGCCTGCGGGCGGTGTCAGCTTTCTTCTATGCACTTCCAGATCGACCAGCACACACATCATGTCATTCTTTGCTCCGAAGATAATGTGAAGCGGAAGGAGGGCGGAAACCGGCGTAATTTGCTCCGTGGCGACAAAGGTACTCTCAAGGTCCACGAATGCTGCCGACTCGCGAGCCTTGGGACATTTCGGAACGACATCCTGTCCACCTGGCGCTTGATGAAAGCCGTGCTCCTGAAACATGTCAGAAAGATCTCCAGCGTGTCTATCAAAATAAGAAACATACGATGTATAGTTCGAGAACGCGGCGGTCCCATGTACGATAGGGTGGACGTTTGCCGAAGTACTCAAGCGCAGACTTCTTATCTGGCCAACTCGCTCGACTCTTGCTCACAGCGGCAGTCACGAATTTCAGCTGGCGCTGGCGATCTTCGAGATTGGCTTGGAAAACGCGACGGTCGATCATAGGCGGCTCGACAAGCAACATCGCTTTATACGGGATATCTTGCGAAGGGAAGAATTTGGTCGAGTACATACTGTCAGCGTGGTGAGATCAAGGCGCACAAATACTGGGTATGGACATACAAGGCAGAGCTACCAGCGGAATGACCTATCGCAATGATAGGTCCCTGAAGACGGGCCGACGACGCGAAGGCAGCAAGCGCCCTACCCCAGACCGAGATGCCTGATGCACATGAGTGAGGCCGTAGATTGTGTGAATTGCGGGGCGACTTACTGACAATGTCACTAGGTCCCAATACGCCGGCGTTCAGCACCGCAGAGTCTCCATGACTTTGCCAGTCTAATGCCCATGCCTCCCTGATACCCACAGCTCTACGTTCGTCATCCTCGGAGAGCTTGAAGAGACGCTGGAGGAATGGTTCGAAGTGTTCCTTGTCTGCCATGTACTCAATTTCGACATTACTGCTATGCAATATGGTACGCACGAAAGCCACTCCCGTGGGCCAAGATGAGGGTGACTGAGCCTGGGCTGGTATGGGCTGCATGGGTCGACCAGTAGCGCTTCGCGGCAACCTTCAGTGTTCGCCCATTATCATCCGAGGCCAGGTTCTCAAAGACATGCGGTTCAGAGAGCATCACGACCACTTCAAGTGGTGGAGGAGGGAAAGACAGCGCGCGTCATGTGTCGTGCATGCATCGTGCGTTACGAGCCGAAGAAACAGATCAGCCAATTCGGCAATTTGGTCTCCCGTTGCGCGCTCTTCACGGAGCAGTGAGTACCGCAGCGCGCATGGAATCACGAGCAGAGGACCGTAAGCGCCGTCCTTCGGCGATGGCGACTTCTCCCACACCCGATCAGGCGCCGTCCTGCCATCACGAAGAGTCCGACCACCACCTGCTGCCTTCTTACAAGAACTCATTTCCCCTGGTCTGATGATGATGGATAAAGTGCGGACTTGCGATACGGATTATATCACCATAAGCCAGACGAGACCGGATGGGGATGCCGCTCAGTAGCGCCCAGCGTGATCCCAAGAGGAAGCCACAGACTACCGCGTTCACCGAGAAGGCGTTGACCTCGCCTAGCCGGTAGCTCAAAACGTTCAGACACCGCTCATAAGTTGAGCGATACATCCAATATCTCTCCCCTGGCCCGCTATCATCATGTCTCTCAACGCTGGTGGGGCCATCCTTGCTGTAGCATCTGCTGTCGGCCTCCTGGTTCTGTGGTTCAGACGCCCCACTCATCTTCCTCCCGGCCCAAAGCCTCGTTTCTTCTTCGGGAATATCTACGAGATACCTCGCTCTCACGCTTGGAAGGTCTACATGGAGTGGGCTAAACGTTACGGTATGTATACTCAATTTCCTCTGAGCATGTTGTCTCAAGCGGTCGTTGCGCAGGCTCCGTCTTCATGCTACGCGTCTTCAACCAGAAGATCATCGTGCTCAACTCGCATGCGGCCGTGATGGACTTGCTTGAGTCTCGCTCCTCTATATACTCAGATAGACCCATGCTTTGGATGTACAAGGTGCTTGTCGACCGCCAATGGGCCATCTTCAACATCACCGATCGGCATCCGCGCTTCAGGATCTATAGGAGAATCCTCAACTCAGCTCTCAACCCCAAGATCATACAAGAGTATCGCTCTCTTCAGACGCGCGAGGCCAACGCTTTGCTCCGACGGCTACACGAATGCCCCACCGACTTCACTACTCACCTGAGACGCAACGCCGGCACCATCATACTTGAGCTTGCATATGGCTGGACTGTTCGGGGTGACGAAGATCCTTTCGTCAGACTCATAGAGGATGGTTTCAAAGTGCAAGCCAGTCTCGTACGACCTGGGTCCTATTACGTCGACATCTTCCCTTGGTGTACGTCTCCCGTATCTGCTCGTGCTTGACTCGAATTGATCATGTTGCGTAGTGCGCTTTGTTCCCGCATGGTTCCCAGGCGCGAGCTTCAAGCGCAAAGCCAAGGCATACAAGGAGTTCTTCCATGGCATAGATCGCGTCCCGCACGATTGGGCGATGAAACAGATCAAGTCCGGGACTTACGTCGACTCTTTCACGTCTCGCAATATGCGACCTCAGGATGGACCGGTGCCGGATGCAGAGATGGAAGATATCATCAAATGGTGCAGCAGCGCTCTCTACGCTGGCGGTGCTGATACAGTGAGTATCATGTTTATTCCCTTCAGGCATACGCTCATATCATTATAGACCGTCGCCGCCATGACGACGTTTATGTTGTGCATGACCCTGAACCAAGACGCACAAGACCGAGCTAGGAAAGAGATTGATGCTGTCGTGGGCATTGACCGTCTTCCCACTCTTGAGGATCGCAAGGATCTGCCGTATGTTGAGGCCTTGATTAAGGAAGTCTTTCGCTGGGCGCCGCCGGTCCCTCAGGGTCTGTACTCGCTTGCGCTCTGTTTTTGGCACCCGCCTTAGACTGGCTTAGGTCTTCCACATATGGTGATACAAGACGATCACTACCAGGGACTGCTCATGCCGGAGGGCACGATGATATTCGCCAACATCTGGTAGGTACCTGGAGAGCACTCAATAGCCTACATTCATCCTTTCGCAGGGCTCTCACGCACGATCCTGATGTATACCCTGACCCGGACACCTTCAATCCCGAGCGCTTCCACCACAAAGGTCCCGAAGATACGCAGTTCGACCCAACGAGGTATATCTTCGGGTTCGGCCGGCGCGTCTGTCCTGGTCAGTAGGGCAGCCGTCCTCTCATCCGTATAAATCGGCTCATGATCGTCATAACCAGGCGCACACTTCGCAGAGGCGTCTGTCTTCTTGAACATCGTGAGCATCCTATCGGCGCTCTCTATACTCAAGCCTCTGGACGACAAAGGCAAGGAGTACGATCCGCCTTACGAATACACATCGACCGTCACAACGTGGGTCTGTTATAACACCGCGTAAAGAGAGAGATCTGATGAAATATGGCGTAGTCACCCCAAACCCTTTCCTTTCCGCATTCTGCTTCGTCCTCATGCACGCAGTTTGCTTGACTTGAATGACTAAGGGTACCGCCTTGCCCGGTAGACCGGATGTACTCTTCTTGGTGCACTTCAACTTCAAGGTGGAGATGACGAAGCCGTCTCACGAACGCTCGGTTCAGTCATGCCGGTCGTAGAGTGTACAAGCGTAGTTTGGTTGGAACGAGAATCATCTGCGTGTGTGTAGTATGTACATGTCGGGCCCCAGCCTATCCGCGGAAGGCCATCGAATCTATCTTCTGTAATGCCATGTCCTGCGCTTCAATGGCATCCAGCCTATCTGCGACGCTCGAGAACGAATCCCTATCGATAGTGACGTCTTCTTGCCTGCTTCTCCCAGGCGTGGCGCGAAAGGTGGTCACTGGGGCTGACAGCGTTCCGGACGCTTGCGAAGCTATCCTGGCGTGACCTGCGCGGATGATGATTAGGTAGAATGTAATTGGCTGGGAGGTATGGGGTTAGTCAACATCGCGGACACTGTGAACGGCTACGACGTACGATAATCTGGCCGGTCTACCATCCTATTAGTAAATCTTCGACTGAGTGCAAGTAGAACACGTACAATATTGAGCATCAAGTAGAGACTATTGCTGCGAAGAGCGTAGGTGATGATGATGATGAGAACGCTGCAAGTGTACAGTAGACCACATTCGAGGAGAACCATGGCAATTGGGATAAGGCTTTGGGAGCGGTTGCGATATGGGGCAACCATCGAGTTCAACTTCCATATCTTGAACGCCAGCAGGGCTGGGGACATGTCAGCGCTCGCGTGAAACCGATTGAGTACCCAGACATCTCACCGGTAGCTACCGCATTAGTACATAAAGTCATCACATAGAATGACAGTATCCAGTGCGCGTCGCTGACGAACACATTGGAGGAATTGGTTAGCGGTTGCGCGACCGACCAAACGGTATGTATCCCTGTCACTGCCATGTGAGTTAGTAAGTGACATGGAGTGAGGGGGGAATGGGCTACCAGCGACAGAGCACCATAGGATACAAGGTGCGATGATGACCCGGTAATCTTGCCACATGATATAACAGCGATAGATCTGCGAGGAGTTCGGATTCGTTGCAACGTCAGATCTGCAAGAAACACGGACTAACCAAGATGCCATCTCCTAGAAGGGTTTGGAGCAGATAGATGACGTTCTTGAACGTCTCTTTCGTCGTATCGCTGAAGTACAGCTCTGGGTCGCCGGACAGGAGGAACCCGAAATAAACTCGATGTGAGTCTACCCCAATGCGCTGCGATAGTCATTATCAGATTTGATGATTCTCACGGTATACGCACAACCTTACGATGGAGCTCAGCACGAAGAGTAAAGTTGCTGCGACGAGTATTATCCAAGGCAAGCCATCTGACCTTCTATGGTGCAGGAGGACCCAGATGGTTACTCCGTACATAAAGAGCGAGAACCCTTCAAAGTCCCGTCAGTTCTTGATTAGAGCTTTCGGACATAGGATCCGGTAAGAACGACGATACAGACCGTAAAGGATCCCCTCTACAATGACGGAGAGCATCTCACCCTCCGCGACGGTCAAAGCCATACTCAACTCAACAGCGTGACAAGTGGTGGCGGGCCAAGAGCGACCGAGGACGGCGGTGGAGAGCTGCCCGGGGTGCGCATCGACGCATATGTATCCCGCGGAAGCGCTCCGTCACGAAGTCGCACGAAGATGCCGAACCGAGGGTAGAAGATGATCGAATTTACAATTCCGCGTTCAAGCGAAGGCTCCATCGACAAAGTTCGGAAGCTTCTCCGGCTAGTAGCCGTGCCCGAGGCCCTCCAATCAGCGTAGCGTCGTCACTGCAGCAGCTAGGAGGATCGTCAGGACGACGTTCGTGCACTCATCGAGCAAGAAGAAGCTTTACGACCGACACGCCAGAAGAGCCGTTCTGGACGAAGGCCGCCGATCCCCAGCTGGCTGCGATTGTACGCAATCATGACCAACTAGTGCCATGTGCTATATCAGGGTTCTTGTCCTGCGCGGCGATCTGAGATTCGTCTGAGACTGTGTGCACTATGATCGTGTACTGACAAGCATTATACCGAGACGACCCCCCCCTGTTCAAACGCGCCTAAGTAGCAGTACCAAGTTCACCGGTCCGTCATACGCCGTGAACGCGCGAGCCACGGTTGCCCGAACGCCGCGACTACGCAGGGGTCGTGAGAGAATCAAAGATCTGCGTACACCGAAGCAACTGCACAGGCGTACTTAGAAGGTATAACACCCCACTGATAGTCTCTGATAGTGCGAGGGACGCTTGCGCGGCGGAGAGCAAACGAGGACTCAAGAGGCCCAAAAAGTATCACGAACCCGTGAAAGCGCAGGCAAGATCATAGTCGTGCCGCACGCGAGAACGAGAACGTGCGTTTCCGTCATTTGTACGCGCCCACATTCAACCTTGTCCTGGATACGACTTTCATCAGGTGCAGTCTCGCACGTCCTACTCTACCTGCCTACGTTGGCTGCGGGCTGTACTTCTAGTCGACCTGCAACACGTTACAAGCTCGGCCAATGAAAGCTACGGATATGGAAATCCGAGATCCCGGTCTGATGTTCTCGAGGCCTTCTCTGAGCAGAGGCGCACGCGTGGAGTTATAGCAGCTGGCGAGGAATGTGCTTGTTGATTGATGGGCTCATGCCGCTTGTCTGCGACCATCATGGCGCTACCTACGGTCGCTCTTGCTGCTGTCCCGGCAATTATACTTCTTGCTGCCTGGTGTAGCCGTTCCTCGCATCTTCCACCTGGGCCCGAACCACGGTTCTTCACAGGAAACGTACACCAATTCCCGCGATCCGAAGCATGGAAGGTCTACGTTGAGTGGGCGAAACAGTACGGTTCGTGGTTTCCCCTTTCCCGCTGTACAGACGTCTTATTGTCGTATGATAGGGCCCGTATTCATGTTACGCATCTTCAACCAGAAGATCGTGATACTCAACTCGCATGCTGCCGTGATGGATCTCCTGGAGGCGCGCTCGTCCATCTATTCGGACAGACCTGTCGTCTGGATGTACAAGGTGCTCGTAGATCGCCAGTGGGCTGTCTTCAACATCTCCGATCATCACCCACGGTTCAAAACCTACCGCAAACTCCTGCAGTCCGCGCTCAACCCTAAAGTGATCCAGGACTATCGACCGCTGCAAAGTCGCGAAGCGCACACGATGCTCCGACTGTTATACGAACGTCCGGCCGAATTCATCTCCCACTTTCGGAGGAATGCTGGCGCCGTGATCCTCGAGATCTCGTACGGTTGGACTGTGAACGGAGCCGACGACAAGTTCGTCAAATTGATCGAAGACGGATTCAAAGTCCAGGCCGAGATTGCGAGACCCGGTAGATGGTTTGTGGACATATTCCCGTGGCGTACGTCCTGGTCAAACCTGAGAATCGCGATATGTCATTTAACTACTCCCCTTCAGTGCGCTTCGTACCCTCCTGGTTCCCCGGTGCTGGCTTCAAGCGCAAAGCGGAAGAATATAAGACTTACTTTCGCGAAGTCGACCGTGCTCCTCATGACTGGGCGATGGAACGTATCAACTCCGGGACATACATAGACTCTTTTACGTCTCGCAACATGCGACCCCAAGATGCACCTCAACCGGATGCGGAGATGGAGGATATCATTAAGTGGTGTAGCAGCGCTCTCTACGCTGGGGGTGCTGATACTGTACGCTCCTTGTCATCTTGATATTCTCCCGCTCTGACATATATGTCCAGACGGTGGCTGCTACAACCACATTTGTACTGTGTATAGTACTCAACCAGGGGGTCCAAGTTCAAGCGCAAGCTGAGATACAGCGTGTGGTTGGCCATGATCGACTCCCGACTTTGGATGACCGCAAAAATCTTCCGTATGTGGATGCATTAACTAAGGAAGTCCTGCGCTGGGCACCCCCTGCGCCGTTAGGTGCGCAATATAGCGTTTTGTGGCTTTCTCATCTCACACTTCCACTCAGGACTGCCACATACTGCCTCTCAGGACGACCATTACGGGGGGTTCTACATACCCAAGCAGTCTATGGTCTTCGCCAACGTCTGGTATGCCGTTGTCCTAAGCCACCACGATGCTTTCTAATACTTCACAGGGCTCTCATGCACGATGAGACTGTGTACCCCAACCCCTTCGCATTCGAACCTGAGCGTTTCATTCAGAAGGAGCCGCAGTATGATCCCACACGTTATGTTTTCGGCTTTGGGCGCCGAGTTTGTCCAGGTCAGAAACGACCGGGTCGGCTTCACCTTGAATCTTCCATGCTGATACGATCTTATGCAGGTTCTCACTTCGCAGAAGCGTCTCTATTCCTCAATATCTCCAACATCCTCTCTGCCTTCTCAATTCTCCGACCTATCGGTGAGGATGGGAAGGAATTCGATCCTCCGGGGGACTATACGTCCACCATCACATCGTACGTCGCTCTCATTGTACGATTGAGGAATTGCCGTGACACATTACGACAGCCACCCCAAACCCTTCCCCTGCCGAATTGTACCGCGCCCACACACAGCCGCGCTCCTCGGACTGGATGCATGAGAGCCGCCCACCCACACATACTGCCTCTAGAGCCCTCCGATGAGACTGCTGTTCTGTTCGATATCGTAATTAACACACTGTATATATAAGTATTCATCAATACTTTCACGGATGCATTGTGTTTTGCTACACGAGAATAAAGGGCCAAGGCGGAAATTGCCGGCAGCCATAAACGCCCTCACGTGGGATAATGCCAGCTTCCCTCCTGCAGTCATCTCGCTCTCTTCTACTCGCGAATCTCTCTGTCGCACCTCATCGTCACATGGCTCCAACGACTCCCACTACCACTTTCTATCCGGGCGACCTGCCATATGCCCGGCCAGCTTTGATGCGCCCGCCTTCACCAGCGGGCTCGATCAACACCGAGTACGGCCCAGACGAGACTGATCCCAAGGAGCTGGCTATGTCGGATGAGGAGTTCGAGAGGAAGATACTGGCTGAGCTCAAGATCGATCAACCAGCGGACCCCGAAGTTCAGGCCGACATGATGCCTATCCGATTCCCATTCTTTCAACCAGGCTCTCACGAGGAGCGCGGTGCGTGATATCCTGGCTGCCTCGATATATATACGCTGACGGGAGTGAAAGTGGTATATCAGCATACACTCTACATGCTAGAGAAGCGCGTGCAGGAGCTTGATGAGAACGAACTCGTTGAGAGTATCATGATGCGGGGGTCCAGCGTGCAGATGGATACGCCGACGTCGTCGAACGATGTTGACGAAATTATGCGAAGCATGATGGGGTCTACGATCTCGAGGGCCGTCTCAGAAGTTCGGAAGGAAGATCCTCGCATGTCTGCAAACGACCTGGGGGACGATCGAGCAGACGTATTTGGGCAACCTGTATCCTGGAAGGGAAAGGAACCGGCGAGGTGATAGTCCCAGAAGATGGAGTTGTCCGTTCGGACTAGTTGAGAGATACGCTACGAGCCTCAACACACCTCACGACCCCCGTCGCGGCTCTGCCATGGTCTCATTTGCTTCAATCGGCTAGGCGCCCATGTTCTCTTGACTGCCGCTAGCAACCACCCGCTGGCCACACATTGCGGGCATCTAATATCTTTGGGTGTGCCATGATCTCCTTATCCTATACCAAGGACTAGTCGACGGTGATGTCATAGGGTACGACCATGTGCATGAATATCAATCAATGAAATTGCTATAGCGCATATGTCTAGATTCGCAAGCACTCGAGTATGGGCTGCCATACTTGCGGCTCGGCGCTCAATTGCATGAGGCCAATCAAGAGAGTATCATACTTCGGATTCAAGTAGGGTGCCCATTCCCCCTGCTTCTCCGCATCCGCCATCGCCTCAATCAAGAACTGCGTGACGTTCTTCGCAAGACGCGCCATTGTCGGCTGGTATTCATACCCTGGACGCACTTTCGTGAGCTGCGACTCCCAGTGCATGCACGCCCGGTATGGCCTCCCGCATCCAGGTACCTGTGTGATAAAGTCAGACCTTTTTCTACTATCGACCTAGTCAGAACATACCCATATAGCAAGGCCAAAGTCTTCGCGCATTGCCACAGGGGGTGGTAGCCTTCCCTGGTCCTTGGCCAAGGCGCACTTCACAGCGTTCTCGTGGGGCGCAATAAGCCGCTTGCCATCATGTATGAGCAGCTCCTGCAGCCTGAGGCCCAGTTGCAGACCACTTTGTTTGAGGTCATGGCAAAAGAACAGGGGCGGATGGTCCGGTGTGAACGTGAAGGTGTAGGGCGAGCCTACTGACCACAAAGACGGAATGACTATCCTGTACCCTGGACGTTCCGGCACAAAATCCAGCAAGCCGACCATCTTCCAGTCGGCGCCTGTCCACACGTTATGCATGTCCTTCTTGTTGCTGGCTTGATTCGCTTGCCGAATGCGCGTGATCTGGCTAGCTGCAGGTACCCGGGGGCCCGCACGAACCACCAACTGCCTGTGGTTGGGACCCCATCGCTCTAAATGATTGCATAGGAACGCAACGTCTGAGGCAAGAGGTCGCTCTTTCTCCATGATGAATGGGTCCAGGACGCTGGCATACCAAGTAGCTGCTGCGGGATATCCAATGGTCAGTGCGACATAGCAATGCTCGATCTTGAAAGCAGGCGCAGCCTGTGCATCCATAGTCGTCTAGTAAGTTGGGAGGTGATGCGGTGCAAGGCTATAAAGTGGTAGAAAGTGGAAGGGGCGGCGATTTATGTAGGAGATTCAGAATCGTGACATCTGATATAGTGCATTCATACGAACCACCCTTCATTGTGGCCATGGGAAGGCGTCTCTGTGCTCAGCGAGTGGACGATCCACACTCAAAGGGATCCCCGCCGGCTGATCTTCTTTTGCTCGAGGACTCTCTTTCCACGAGCAAAGCACACGCATCGCCGGGCGCCGAACAGGCGCGGCATTGTACGCTGAGAACAAAGTCCCGCATGAAGTTGTAGACCCTTATAGCGAGGGAAGCATTTAGCTGTGGTGAGCCATCCATCCTGGCACGGTACCACTCCCGAGTCAGGATGCGGGGCGATGCCGACTGGACAGACCGAGATACTCGCCACGAAGACGAAGATCGTTGCCATACAGAATGCCACTGCCTGGACTGTGCCCGTCCGCGGTTGTGGTTGTGCTGCGGATGGATGATGAATAATGTTCGCGGCCGGGTCCGGGACAACGTGAAAGACTCGTAGATGAGCTGAGCCGACCTCGAAGCTCGACGGCGGCATCGCGTTTAACACATACAGTGACTATATGAACCAGGATTCGACTGAGCTGGCACAGATACTGCCCACAGGGCGTACCATCACGACGTCGGGAGCCAAACGCCGCGCGGCGGACGACAAACCGAGCTAGCCTGTGCGGATGTTCGAACCGGCAACCTCCGTGAACTCGATCTTTCAAACCCCATCCGGCGATGACGAGCCGCCATTCAGGCGGGACATAGACACTATGATACGTACGCTGGAGAGTCTCGAGGGTCTATTCTCGTAGGGCGCGACCCAAACTAAATTTGGGCCGGTCATTCAAATTTGAGGCTTCAAAACACGACTAAAACCCACTTCTTTCAACTTTTGAACGGCCCGCCTAGAATATTCCCCTCAAGACTTCTCTACCCGTTGCGAGCTATACAAGGCATGCATAAATCTTCTTGAAGTTCACAATTTATATTTAGCATCCGCGATGGGTGGTAGCCTCGCAATAGACGTTCGAAATACCAGAGGCGCGGCGCCCAGCTCTCTCCGCACTGAAGGCGACGTACTGTAGCTGTCACAACGTTGCGGACCCCAGAATAAATCTTACACACCCAGGAGTGCTATCATCTCCTTGGAAAGCTGAAAACAGTCAGATAGTGACCGTAGGGAATATTCTAGGCGGGCCGTTCAAAAGTTGAAAGAAGTGGTTTTACTCGCGATTTGAAGCTTCAAATTTGAAGACCTGCATTCGAGACCCGGGCACCCGTCTTCGGTAAAGCCTTTACTTGCGTGGCCACCATCGGTCACAGCATCACGACTGTCCTGGATGCAACACGAGTGTCCAGGCTCCTTGCGCATAGGCGGCGATATGAGTCTCGAGCGATTGTGGGCCGCTTCAGGATCCCGAAGGGCATAACGACGAGGACGTAAACGTCAGGGTTTGCAAAAACTAAGAGCACCAGCTAAGACTGACAGTACGCGTACTGATGCGAGGGGAGAATGCAAGCTGGGAGGCGTAATCGTGATAAGCGTGATGGACGTGGGCGGGATGAGTAAGTATGCAGAGGACAACAGGGTATGAACAAACATTGCGGGGTAAAAGGAAGTGATACACGGCGAAGATTAAACGTGACGAGTTGAGCGCACGTAGAATGGAGTAGGTGGGTATGCAGTTTACAGTTCCAGGATAGTAGAGAGTGTGTTCAGGGAGTAAGGAATGGCAGGTTTGAGTGAACGTGAGATGAGAACCACGGTGCAGGCCGCATGCGGGCTTTTGATTACTTGCGTAGGTTGCTCTTGAGAGACGGACGGATACAAGGCGGACAGACATCGTGACGATTTGAGCATGAGACAGCGCTATAACCACCCAGTCGCGACGCGGATTGTCATGGCGAGCTGCATCTCGAAGTCGGTATCAGCGTCGATTCCGACGGGGTACATTGGTGGCAGCCTAAAGAGCAGATCCATGCGTCAAAACGTCTTGTTGCCAGCAACAGAGGATAGAAGGACAAAAGAAAGCGCACAGGTTCCAGTAGCCAGACGGCAGCCCGATGAAGGAGAGCATGAACATGTCATAATCTCAAATAACGGAAGCGAGTCCGAATAAGCTGCGATGGAAGCAACAACAAGCGAATAGTGATAAGATGGACGTAAATGTATGCGTAAATGGTAAGAATAGAATTCCAGGTGACATGAAGAGGGCGTGATGCATCTCGATGATAGCATGATAGCAGGGTTCCGTAGTAGTGACAAGGGTTGTGGGGGCTCGATCTAGTGACAAGGGAAAGTATCTACCAATTCCAATCGTCGTCGTCTTCCTCTTGAGTCTGTTGCTGCGTTGTCTTCGATGTGCTGGAGCTCGCTGCGGGCTTGGAGGCTGGCGTCATGAGCGGTGTCGGTGTCATCGCCGGAGATGGTGCCATGACCAAACCCAGCCCAGCAGGTGGATCATCATCGTCCGCGTCAAGTAGGCTAGTTGAGGGCTGTTCCGCAATCGGGGACACTCGTGCTGGCCATGCCGCAGGGGAGCCCGCGGGCGATGGTAGACCCGGGTTGAACGCCGCAAAGAGGGATTGTGATACGTCCGAGATGATCATGCTTGCACGTTTCTGGCTCTTTCCCAATCTATGAATGATTGAGTATGCGAATGACGAGGCAAAGATCGAAGAGAACGTACGTCTTGGTTGATTCAGTAATCCGCTTGCCAACCCAGTTCTGCGCTGCTGCCGCCACGTCCGCATTGAGTCCCATGGCCGCGAGCCCACTAAGTCCTGGCACGCCCGCAGGTGGAGGCAAGCTCATGTTCGAGCGCCGCCCGAGTGAACCGAAGTCTACTGCATCCTGCTTGGGCGAAGGTCTAGTGTCATCGTCGAGCATTTCTGCCTTCTTGACTTCACGAGAGCGTCGGCGCAGAGTACGCTCAGACGCAAACGGCGATAGAGGTGTCGAGGGTACTGAAGGTGGAGGTGAGAGGATCGCAGCCTTCGTATCCGCCTCGGGCTCTGCATCGATAGGCTCTACGCTGGACGTCGAACTTTGGGAGAGCCGGGTGCTGGCTGTTGTGGTGGTACTCGTACTTGCAACAGTGCTCGCACTAGCACTGGGTGCATGGGCCGCCATGCGCTTCGCCGCTGCACCCCGCGGCGCCGTGCTTTGCGTCCGGACTTGAGCAGGCACGGTAACAGGCGAGGCGGGTGAGGGAGGATTGAGCGCCAGAATACGAGCGAGCGGCGCAGGCATGCTGTCCAGAATCCCATCGGCAGGGACATTGACCGGGCCTGGAGGTGCCGAAGGTGCAGGCGTCGAAGGGGTGACCTTCCCGAAATCGCGTCGGACGATGCGCTCCCAAGCTTGTTTGAGCACCTGCAGCTCTTGCTCGTGCGCGGACAGCTGAGAGCGTAGTTCCAGGCACTTGGCCTCCTTCTGGGCGATGAACTGCAGCAATGGTGCATGCCTGGACAGACGTGCGTCAGTCAGCGCCGACTAGCATGTTGAGTCTATCGCGTGCGTACTTCTCTGCGAGCGTGAGCGTGTGCTCTCCTGCCGGCTCCTTCGGCCCTTCCTTCTCAACAGGCGCGGCGCTTAGCGGCGAAGTTGAAGTTGAAGAAGGCCCAACGATCATGCTCCGCCTTCGATTCTCCTTCGCTGCCGAGGAAGACGGGGACACTCCCGCTATGGTCGCCCGCTTGCTGAATCGCTCTTGAGATGCGCTAGCCGGCGGCGAACGCAGAGACCATGACCGCGGACTATCCGGCGGCAAGTACGAAATGGAAGACTGTCTCCGACTGGCATGTTTCCGTTGCGGCTGATTGAAGCTGGCGACCGAGGATGAAGGGGAGGGAGTATTCGGCAAGTGCAGTGGCCGCGGCGCGGGCGGACTGTCCGCCGCAGAGGTCGAAATACTCAGAGGACGGCGCACGCTCGTCATCGTTGCAGACGGCGGCGGTGAGGGTACGAAATCAAGAAGGGGTTCCAACGCATCTCTCTCGTTAGCTTTACTGCGCGTCCACACCCGTCGCTAGGGCTCCAATGGCCGGAATCCAGAACTTCCGACTTGACTGCATCAATTCCACTTGTTCCTCTCTCACACTCAAACATATATTCGTGTTGTATGTGTATGTTCGGAAAGCGTTTCTCATTCAAGTGCAAGCAGACGGAGCTCTATAACACCACCAACACGACCACCAACAGCGCGATAATATAGTATGCCTAGTGTCCTGCGCCAGACTCCTTCTCCGCTTCCTTGATGAAGTTCGCAATGCTGCCCGACGTGTTCCTGATCAGTCAAAGTCACAGGGCCTGTATTGGGCACGTACAATTCGTCTTCCTCCCTGGAAAAGTAGTCAGCAAATGCGTTCATTGCACATGTGGGGTGACGCAGAGAGAGAGAGAGAGAGAGAGAGATGCAATACACTAGAACCAAATCGCCGTCGGCCGACCACGGGAATACGACAGCACAGCACCACTTCGCCCGGTGGATCGTATCCTCTGCTGCTGTAGGGCCGCCGCGCCACCTCAAGCGGTTCATGAGGATGATGCTCTCCATGTTCAACTTCCGGTCAGGCTTCACCGAGAAGCACAGTTCGCCGGGGTGAACCCCGCTTTCCAGCGGCTTCTTCGCGCGCGCGAGATTCAGAACCAAAAGGATGTCCACACCGAGCCCATCTCGAACACATGCTCTGAGTGAAGATGTAGACTCACTTGCTCGAAGAAGATCCTACGGTTGCAGGTGCGGCCGCCTTGGGAGCAGCGGCGTCCTTCTTCCCGCCCGTCATAGAAACGGCAAGGCCGACAGTGCTGAGCAGCGTGCCGAGCGCAAGGTACTCGTTTTTGATAGCCTTCCCAAAGATAACGCTGTCGATGAGCAACCCGTTCGAACCCGAGGACGGTGCGGCAGTGGACGTGCACGCGTCGTGTAATGCCGAGCGCAGGTCGTATTTCCGTTCGATGAAGTTTGCAGAGTGAAGATAATAACATAGAGAGAATGTCAGTGCAGTTCCGAGGGTATAAACACGCTATACGCACTAAGACATGGCGACGGTCCTGCTCGTTCGTTTACAGGGCGTGTCGCGCACCGTTTCCGAAGGCGCGTCCAGCCGGGCCTTTCCGGCGGTCGATGTAATGTGTTATACATTTTGGCCAAAGTTTACATGGCCGCCTGGCGAAATGGCATCGCGTCTGACTACGATCATGTAATCAGGAGATTGCAGGTTCGACCCCTGCGGTGGTCAGAAACTCATTTTGCTGAGTTTCCTCCCCTCATACTATGGTCACAACGATCTTGAAGTTTTTGTGACGATCCAATGTAAGACGACCTTGTCTTAGCTGGGATAATGTACATTGCAGACGACTTATGGCTCCCGATCCTGTACATTCCACGGAATGTCTGATCGAGCGTATTCATTTGGGATTCATTGGTTTGTATGTGCCTTGTATTGTACAAGTATTGCACCATGAATCTCTTGATTCCATACTTCAATGCTGGCGACCCTTGAGCTGGAGTGCTCGGGGTCAGACCCAGGAGGCTGACGATGGGAATACCATAGGGCCGACAACTTCCTTGCGCTTCTCCAAACCGCACAGCTTCTCGACGAGTGTGAAGGCGAAGGGGAACGCGGTACCTGGCCCGCGACTGATACACCACTTTCAGACTCGCGTAACAAGCACCATGGGCCGCTCAGGCTTACCTGGTTATCAAGTTATTTGACACAATGACTGAATCCTCGCGATAGGCGAAGGCTGTGTAGCTAGTCAGGGGTGGTGGCAATCCAATATCGTCGCCAATGACGCACCCCGGTCAAGCTGTTCCTTTACCGATGGATGTGAAGTCAGTGGTTGGTTGGGTAGTCCAGACGTGAGCGCAGCCAGGCTACCTGTAGAGTGTCAGATAGGTAGTTGGTCCACCGGGGTCAGACCATACCAGCGCAAATCATGCCGACAATCTTTTTCTTCTCGTAGAATCCTCTGATAAGTGTCTGCACGACCGGCTTCTGGGATAACGTCTCCGCACCCTGGCCAAGCATTCACTATTGACTTCGCAAGATTATCGAGGACGTGATACCTTAGCGCCTCCGGGGATGATTATAGCGTCATAGGATCCCTATGGGGATGAAATCTGAGTCAGAGGACGGAATTCACCGAAGTCGGAGACAACGACGTACAACGACGTCGACAGGCAGATCTTTCTCTTCGATGTCCGGAATGATGCGTACACCACGAGAACATTCAGCGTACTCGGATCCGCCAGTAGTACCGTCTAGATGAATCAAAGCAGAAGTGCACTGTACTCCCGCGCGTACGAGAGTGTCATATGTGATGGTACTGAAGACAGCATTAGTCTGTCGGCATACAACGTTCTCGAAGCCAGCGAGCGCACAACTCCATTTCCTCCGTGCCATTGGCAATCAAGATCAGCGCAGATGGCATGGCGCTCTGAGCTCGAAAGTATTTTGGGCTGGAAAGAAGGGTCTATATGGACTGTACGACGCCGTGGTCGTCGAGATTGAAGTCGCACCCGAAGGCGCCAACCCTCACGGCATTCGCGCGCTACAGAGCTCGACGCGTGACGTCACTCAACACGCGGTCACCACAACAGAGAAGTATTACATACAACAAACACTGCAGAAGCGACAAGAACAGCGGAATACATAGTACACAAGTCGTGGTTAAGGCAGAACACCCTTCCAAATCTTCATCACATCCGCGAACTCGGCCGTCATCGGTTTTCCTCCGCCCTGCGACTCTGCCTTCATCTTGCACAAGTCCCGCATGGCAACCTCGTATGGGTACTGACTGTAAAGGGAGTGTTCTCTGGAGTACGCGATCGAGGCCCGCACACGGCAGAGCCACTCGTACCGTGGATGATCAATCTCGGGGTAAGACGAGAATTGGCGCGAGCCTGAGCGCAGAACGTCCTGGCGCACTCGAATAGGAAGCCCGGTGAATGACTGGACCTTATGACGAGATTGCGCCTCGCGTTTGACATTGTTGAGTGCCTGGCGCGCGTCCTGGACGTGCTTCTCCAGCCTCTTAAACTCCTCGAGAGGTTGCGCATGCCCGCGCGTCTCGGCGGCCTTACAGGCTTCGAGCTCTTGCCTCGCTGGGGCGCAGAGAACAGGGTCGAGTTCGAAGAATGGCGTGAGAGAATCGAACTTCTTGTATACGATGTCTAGCTGCGCCTTCTCCTCCGTAGCCACGACACCGAAGAGAGTATCAAGCACGAACGTGGAGAGCTTGAGGTCCTTCCGTCGCGTCAGAGGTGGGAACTTCGACGCGTCGGGATCGAGTTGATGCTTCCATCTCGGGTTGCGGTGGGAAGCGTAGCTTTTTTTGTCTGCGGCGAAGGTGGCATCCTTGATGCTCATCCCGCTCTTCGCGCCATCCAGAGTGAGACAGAATCTGTTAATCAGGATACGGTTAGAGATCGGGCAAGGACCTGAGATAAGAAGACTCACTTCCAGCCAGCAGCTATGGTCAGCGGGTGGTTGAATCCGTTGACATATGCACTGTTGGCGTGCATGTCTGACGAAAGGATGAGCTTGGATCGGACTGGATGCGATAAATGGCTTACTAGAGTAGAGTCCCGGTGCATAGACGTCTTTCAATGGCATGAAGATAACTTGTTGCATAGCACGCATGCGTCCACCGTCGAGAGATGGGTGCTTGACAACAAATTCCGACACCTTGAGTGGGTCCTTGTTGAAGGCCTTGTCGAGTGCCGCTGGAGGAGTCGCATACATTGCGTCGGCATTGCAGAACGGAACTACCATCTCCGGATCCCAGATGACAACGGCTGATACAAGCATTAGCACAGTATCGGCACGTAAACCGTGTGAGACGCACCTCGATCTCCATCATAATCGCCTGTAGACATGATTGACGTGTTAGATTGGGCGCAAGCAATAGGAATGAGCATTGCGCACCTCCTGCGAGAAGGCTAGCTAGAGCCTGTTTCCCCTTTGTGGAGAATATGATCTGATCATGGTAATCGCGCAGCTCTTCTCTGAAGACGGCGCGGACCTGGATGACGATGAGGAACCCATATAAGTATGAGAACGCAACGGCAGACCTTTTGTACGTCGCTGGGAAGCTTGCACGGGTCTCGTACAACCTAGATATGAAACATTCAACTCACAGCGGAAGCGAGAAAACACGCAGACCGGTACGCACGAGAACCCAGCCGACGAATGTGTCGCTGTACCGCCCATCCGGTAACAATACGTTGTGCTTACTGCTTTTGAAGAAGATCTCGCCCTCTTCGAGGACACCGTGGGGATCTACACGTAGATAAGCCAAGTTGATTGAGGCGTGCATGGCCTGGAATGGTGCTCACCGGGGGCTATCCAAGCCGATGCGGACATGGGCACTTGCAGCTTTACTTTCAGGGCGCGAGACATGGTCTTCACCAGGCTGATTATGACGTGCTTAAGCTTGTGAGCGAGTACAGCGTTTTGATCAGGACGGAATCCGGCCTGAATCATGTCGAGGGCAGTCTCGTCCAACGCCGACGGCATACCGCTGAGGTCGTCCGGCCACCACGCGAGCGAGCGTTCGATGCTGATATCGCGGCCCTGAGATCCGGCGTCAAGATAGTCCTCGTCATCAACCTCGCCGCAGTCCTCCAGAACAAAGCCTCGCGCACGCGCTGAGCCGCTTGACTGCCGGGCATGTCTGGAAGCGACGACGTTCCCTGTCCGCTCAACTTCCGCCCAAAGGCGGACCATATCAGACGGTTGACCGGCTTCACACTTGCGCGGCCAATCGAGTAAGCACGAGACGACGTCGCTGAACTGCTGCCTAAGACGTTTCTCGAAGACTGCTGTTGGAACACCGTTCTCCGCAAGACAGACGACGATGTCTTGGGAGATCTTGACGGACGCGTTCATACGTCCTGGGCGCAATACGGATATCTCGAGATGAGCGGGATCGAGGTTGGGCGCCAATGTCCGGTGGATCTTCACTTGAGATGGTCGTAGATAGACAGCGAGTTCCTTGCGCAGGTGCGGCTCGGCATCGGGATGAAGATGTACAATGCCCTGTAGCATCCTCAGTCATAAGAAGACGGTGGGAAGGTAGAGATGGCATTACCTTGCTACCAAAGGTGCGAAGCTGTATCGCCGTTGGCATAGACGGCCAGCCGAGGCGCTTCTGAATAGACTCGAGCGTGAAGAGCGTCGTGAAGCCACATCCGTCCGTGAATAGCTCTCCATCCTCAGACACTGTGCATAGATCAGATACCATCCTTTTCGCGAGGCAAACAGTAAACCTACCGATATCAGGTGCCGTACGAACGTTCTCAGGCTCGAGCACACCACCCGGAACCGAGTTGGAGAAGCCAAGCGCGACTCTCGCGCAGTATTTTGCCATGTACTGTACAGAAGTCAGTACCGGATACACGCGATGCAGCGGAGAGGACGGACCTGGTCAGAATTGAGTTGAATGGGATTGAACCACTGGAAGAACTTGTGGAAGGACATGAACCGTTGTCCTTCGCATCCAGGTAAGCCTCGCGGCGTAGTGGTGCTCGAAGCCATAAGAAACGCTACGCCATCGCGGTTCGTGTAGCGAACTTCGTATGTACGACCACAGATGACGAACGGGCGAAGGAGCAGCCCACGCGCGATGCGAGTGAACTTCTCGGGTTCGCCGAGTAGGTCCGGCGCGATGCGCAGACGGATGTACGAGTCGCTGCCGAAACGACGGGCGAACAAGCTCGACGAATGCCGCTCAGGCCGAAGTAAGGTAAGCGTCGGCGGGTCATTATCGCTCGCGCCTGGGGTAAGCTTCGCGGCATAGTGCACGTTGCCGCCGTACCAGCTCTCTGGGAGGCCGTCAATCGCATCGTTCATGGTACCCATGCAACCGTAGGTTGCTATGCCGAGGGCTGCAGCCTCTCTGTCGAGCTCCACCCACGGCGCCTAAAGGTGTAAGGACGGTTGTCAGCACACAATCAGAGAGACGAGCGCCAAAGCCGAGACTGACCCTGACCACATATTCCTTCGTCGAAGCCGGAGCGTGCGGGTTCTGGCCTAGTATGATGTCCGCTACACAACGCGCGACATCGACAGCACCGCCTTGGAGTTGACCGGCGGCCAGCTTCTTCTGAAACGCGCTCGAGTTCCAGTCGAGCTTTCCCTCGGTGACGAGTCGAGACAGTTCCCATTGCGTCGCCCAGGCGAGCTTCCGAACGTCTCCTAGTATCTCGGTTGGTGGTTGCGCCTGGTTCGGGAGTGAGCCCTCGAAAGACGGATGCACGACGGTGGCATCTGCGGTCGCAGTCTCGCAAGATGGCCAGCGGCGCCGATCCCACGCTCTGGCGCCAATCATGAGATGGGCGCCAGAGCGTCGCGCAGCGCCGCTGGATCTTGCGAGACTGCGGTCGAAGACGCAGATGAGAGAACCACACGAACAATGTAAAACGGTGCCGGTGCATGGGGATCGTCTTCTAAAGTCTGTCCTGGGCGTTAGTACTCGGTCCGGAAGTAACAACTAGGAAGTCACGTACAGTCACAGCCGGCTGAATGTCAACATCCATGTAGTCGAGAGACCTCGAAGCCGCAACAAGAGAACGGATCTTGCGGCCAGAGTCAGGACAGAGACGAGCAGGGCGGAAGCCACAATACTCACCTTAGCGCGCGAGGGCTTGGTTGGCGAAGGTGCGGGTGTTGGTAGAGACTTCGCAGGAGCTCGCGGAGCTTCGACGTCTGGGGAGGGTATAGACGATGCACTGGATGTACGCGAAGTTGACGGGGTAGTCTTAAGAGGGAACAGGGTCCACGTCGTAGCGGGCGCCTTGCCTTTACCCTTCTCGCCGGACGAGGGTTTGCTGGAGTCCGCCTATGCGCAAGTTCAAGGCAAGAACTAGATGTGGACTGTAATGATGACAGACCTTTGGCGAAAGCAGGTCACGCAGCGACGGGAGCACCTCGCCGGGTGTATCGGTACTCTGCTCATCCTCGGAGTCGTACACAACGCGCGGCCGCTTCTTTACGGGCGTCTTGTAACGCGACTTGTCGTCGTCATCCGAGAAGATCGGTGTAGTGACGTTCGACGTGCGAGATGTCGAAGCCGAAGACGAGCGCGAGGTATTGGTGCGTGTAGACGCTTTGCGCCTGCTCTTCGCTGAAGGTTTCACCGGGCTCGCCTGCGGATGTCATATGAGTGAACGGTATATCGAGAGACATGGGAGAACACGAACCCTCGGCGAAGGCAGGGCGTATCGAGGCAGGACCGTGTCAGAAGGTGGGCTGTCGAGCTCATCCTCAGAGTCGTATATGACGCGCGGCCGCTTCTTCAAGGGGTTCTTGTGCGGCGACTGGGTTCCGGACTTGACGCCGGCGCCTGATATTGCCGCTTCGAACCCGCCTGAAGTGCTGGAGGTCGTTGTCATGGCTGTAGGTAGCGCCCCGAGATGCGGTAGCATGTCCATTTCATCGAGCGTCACTTCGTCAACATCGGTGAAGCAGTCCGAGTATGAGGTCGATACATCGCCGTCGCTGTCGATGACGTAGGTGACGACGGGCGCGCGCTTCGAGTCGGGCGGCATTGATGTGCAAGATGTGAAGGTGGAAGTTCGGGAAGATCTAAGAGCGGGGAAGTTGAGTATCGCGTCCGGGAAGAAGATCGAACACAGCGCGCGATGAGGTGCCACTCGGGCACCCTTCAAATCCTTTATACATCCTCGACATCAGAGGTCAAAGGCGCAACGCGCAGTCCGCGGATGACAGCGAGGCGCGGTTAAGTTCTGGGATGAGAATCGCCCTCGAACTGGGCGCATACAAAGGACCCCTCGTGGCCGAAAGCGGGGGCGTGGCGAGCGCGCGCGTGCGCCACACGATAACACCTGAGCGCGATATGAGGTACGCTAAGCGAGGGCGGGGCGCCCGTCCGCCATACACAACAGTAGCAAGATCTCTGCCTTGACCAGCAAAGCTGTTTCCGCACGCTGGCTCTGCGCCTACTGTCCAGCAGGCGATGCACGCATCGCCCGCGGCGCGCCAAAGCCAGAGGGAGCGAGAGAGAGTTCGACCATCTAACCAGCGCTAGTAGCGGAGACTGAAGGTTCTATACATTTTCGTACAGCTCTTCGGCAAGCGAGGGAGGGCGTAATTGGATAGATCAGCGCTTCCCCGTACTGGTAGAAGCGGCCAGCGCGTATCACCGCGCGTCGGAGCCGTACAAGACTTGACCGCGATGGTACGTCCATCCTAGTGTCGTGATTTGAAATATGTACGAGTACGTCCGCCTTCGCCTGGCTTCAGCGTGCACCATGACATCGAGCAGAGTGTTCAATAAGGAGGTTATGCTCCGGCGCGCGACGTCGTGGTGGGACGAGACCAACCTCGGGTCGACGCTTTCGAGCGAAGATCGCGATGTGTAGGATCCACAATCGCCCACACACATCTACCGCCCACCACCCTCAAGTTGGTAGTCTCATACATCGAGCTTGTGCGCATCTTCAGCGCATACGGAATACTGAGCGCGTTCCACGTCTTGACCGCTCTCATTCCCGACAGACCCTCGCCGATTTCACCGCATCGCGCCATCGCGACCATGACCACAAAATGCATGCATAACAACCGCATCCCAGACGCACGCGCCCGGACGATCATCATCATAGTCATCTAAGATACATCGAAAGAAAAACACGACTGAATGAAAACAAGCTAAGTACGTATACGTGCTGAAACCGAGTAGAAGTCAAAGGAACTCCCAGACAATCATGAACAGCGAAGATGGATGGATGGACGGATGGATGAAGAGTGCGACTCGCGGACCCAGGAAAGAGAGAGACTCAAGAATATATGCGTTTACGGAGAGGAAGGGATGTGGTGGGGCGGCGGGTGGAAGAAGAGGTGAAGTTGGTGGGAGATAGAGATGGGGGTGTCATATGCGGCGGCGGGATGGGAGGAGGGAGCGCGCAGCGCGAGACCGAGAACCGAGTGTATGGTGTATGTGTATCGTTGATGTTACGGAGAGAGAACTACTATTCACAAGTGTGCTTTGGATTGACTGAAAAGGGGTACGACTTTTTGCGCAGCGGGAGAGGGATGGAAGTAGGTAGTAGGGGAGTATAAAAAGGCGTGTCACAGTCCGTATTCGTTGAAGTGAGGAATTGAAGTGAGTTGTTGTTGTTGCGATCCGTTGTATGATTGTTTGGTTTGCATGTGCGGAGGTAAGCTAGAAGAAGGGTGGTGGAAAGCAGGGCGGAAAGCGACGCGATATTAGACAATTGCAGGTGAGGACAGCAGGCAAAGTGGATGGGGCAGACGCAAGCGGGCAGCAAGAAGAGGCGGATTGGGAGAAGCGCGCAAGCGAGGTCTGGGCGGGCATGATCATGATGATCGTTGTTGAGGGTGAGGATCGTGATCGTGAGGAAGAATGTCGGTCTGGTCGTGTTCGTGAATGTCGTGCGCGATGCGTTGCCGGCGGACTGGATGACTTTTGCGAGGTGATGTTGAGGAAGCGAAGGTTGACGAGGTCGGGTACGGGTGTCTCCTACGTGTGCATTGGCGGAGAGGATGGACTGGCGGTGCCGAGCAAAGCGACTACATGAGCTCGCCCGCGGCAAGCCTCGCAGCAACGGCCTCCACGAGTCCCGGGTCGCACTGGAACTCCCTAGCCAGCGCACTCAGGCGCGCTTGACTGGAGGTACTGACGGCGCGCCTCCCATGCATCGCATGACCGGCACCCTGTGCCCTGCCCATTCCGACCGGCGCAGTCCCAGCCGACGCCCGGCGTTGCGGCGGCGGCACGTATCTTTGCTGCTGCTGCTGAGCCTGCATGGAGACGTACTCCCCGAACTCGTTTACGCCGTACGGAATGCCGCCAAGGCCGGGCGGAGCGAACTCGTCGACGCCGTACCCGAGCTCGCTGGATGCGGTACTGGGAGAGTCCATGCCGGGGCCCTGGCACATCATGGGGAACCCGCCCGTGCCGTTCGTGCCAACGCTGATGCTAGACGCCGCAGAGCCCGCGCGCGATCCTCCTCCGACTTCGGCGAGCCCGCGAAGGGTTGCGCGCTGCGCGGGTGTGAAGACCGCACAGTGAGATGCAACCTCGAGCAATTCGGCGAGGAGACCAGGGTCGTCGGCTGTGGCGCGGCGAGCGCCTTCGTCGGAAGCAAGTACACCGGCGGCAGCGAGCGCAGCCTCGAACAGTGCATCACGACGAGCGGGAGTGTGAAGAGCACGACCGTGCTGGCCTTCAGGCGGGAGCTTGTCGAGAACCGAGATGAGCGCGTGGAACGGCAAGCTCGGAACCTTGACAAAGTGGCTGTCCGGCGAGCGGACGAGCGACAAGAGAGCGCGGAGCTCAACATCGTCGAGTACGCCGGCGGCCAGTGCGGACAGCTGCTCCGTCTCGGAGAGGTTGCGCAGAACAGGGACACCATTCTCAAATACACCGCGCCACGAAGGGAAGAGTGCAGCGAGAAGCTCGTCCTCAGAGGTACGGGTGACCGTAACACCGCGAGCGCGCTGCATAATTAACATCAGCACGCATATCCAGTGTCCAATAGATGTGGATACTAACCTTCCCACGACCAAGCACGCTGTTCTGTGCCGTCCTCAACGCCGCCCTCGCAGCGTCCTCATCCCTCATCTCCACAAACGCATGACTCTGCGTCTTGCCCTTGCGATCCAGGAGCACATGCACGCGCTTCACAGCGCCAGGCTGCTTCAGCCAAGCCTTGACCATCGGCGGCGTGACATCCTACATGCAAGGAGCATCGCATTTGACAGCGGGCGCGCAAAAAGAAGGCGCGGCGAAGTGGGGATTTACATTCGACATTTGACGTTGGATGCGCGCAAAGGAACGGCGAGGTCGGAGTCGGCCGGACACGTGCCGCGGAGATGGCCAGACGGAATAGAGGCGAACAAAGGATGGGCGCGAGGGTGCGGCGGCAACGAGGTGATGGATGATGGTGGGCGGGGACATGCATACCGACGATCAGCGCGCGTTCAAAGGACACAACAGAAAAAACTACGCACCCATGGCACGTTGTCGATGCGTAAGACCGTGCTGTTGTTCTTGTCGTTGCTGAGGCTGGAGCGGGACGTCTGGCGGGTGTATGACGGTTGTTGTTGCTGCTGAGGAGAAGGACGTTGCTGGACCGGAGCGGCGGCGGTAGAAGCGGGCGCGGGCTTCATTTGGAAGTTGTCGACTGCGCAACGGCAAACGGCGCATTCCATGTTCTTCTCGCCGACGATGTTGAGCGCCGAGGTGAAGCACGCCGAACAAAGAACGTGGGCACAGGGTGCTAGAGCGACAAGCGTGCTGGCCCTGTTACCGCACACCGGACACGCCGCCGGATCGACCTGGGCCGGCGGTTGCTGCTGCTGCTGGGGCTGAGGTTCCTGATACTCGTCCATCGAGTCGAACGACGCCTGGCGCTGATGGTAAAACTTTGGCGGTGCAAGCTCAAACTCCTCGAATCCATCAACGGTCCGGTTCCTCGCATGACTTGCAGAGAAGGACAGCGGGTACTGCTGGTGCTGGGCGTGGTCGTTCTCATCAATGTCGAAGAGGTCGCTGACAGGATACGTCGGCCGGCGGCGCGGATACGCAGGATCCGTCATCGAGCCCTTGGTCTTCAGCCGGTCGTCGCGCCTGGGCGGCGTGTTGAGTGCGCCCAGTGTACGCCTTGCGGGCGTGGTGGGCAGCATCGGCGGCGGGGCGATCGACTGGTACGGTATCCTCTCCTCCTCGTTCTCGATATCGGCCCGTGTCCGCCGGTACGCCAGCGGCGACACCCCCAGCGCAGCTGTCGACGTAGCCATCAGCGTGTGCACTACATATACGTTGTAAAGTGGTACATACCCAGAGGATCAAACTCGTGCTCGTAGTCGAACTTTTGACGCTTGCCTTCGTGGTGCACCGGGTAGTCTGCGCACGATCAGATCAAAGCCCACCCAACATTTGAATGCAAAACCTACTCTCGTCGTCGTCAAACGAGCCGCGGTCGACGCGGATACCGTGCTCTGTGGCGCGTGCCCGCCAGTCATCGTCGGGCTGCTGTCCTCTGGACCTCCTGGCGAGCGGGCTCTGGGCCGCTGCGTACTTGATGCTCTCGGGCGTGGTAAAGGCGGAGCTGGCGCGGTCCGACCACTGGGGCGTGTTGAGGCTGAGGGTCGAAAAGGGGGACGAGCCGGCGTCGGACGATGAGAGCGGGGACGGGAACATCGACTGCAGGTCCGCCAGCCTCGACGCTGGGAGCCGGTGCGCTGCAGCCGCCGTGCGCGGGACACGGGCCGGTGTCGAGTAGAGCTTGCCGTCTGGTGTCACGGGTGCCGACGCTGGGGCCATGGTCGTCGTCTTGATGAAGGAAGGAAGAAGGAAGGTCGCGAACGTCGTCGTTGGTGGTTGCTGCGAAGGAGCACACGCCGACTTGAATATTCAATCGCAACTTAGTGGTCACGTTTCTTCCCACCACGCGTCATGTCGCGAGGCAATCCACTTTTTCTTTCCCCAAGACCGCGAAATTGTGGCTTGTGGCTCAGAGGGATACGGATGCGGTAGTGCGCAAGTAAGGAAAGATGGAACGGATCTATGCGGCGAAGAATCGAGGTACGTAATATCTGCGCTACATAGCACGGCCTCCTGCCACATCAAGCAAGCCACAACGTGCTACCAATACACCCCAACGCGAGAAAGTGTAGAGCGGTGTAGGGTAAAGCCTAAGGTTCGAGCTCTCCACAAGAGAAGCCCGTAGATAGACACAGGGGCGAACTCTGGGACGTCTGCGGGGAAGATGAGGGTGGGAAGCGGCAGACGGCAGCGCGGGAAGGACTATGAGCCGCACGAAAATGTAGGATAGAGTACACGGCGAGCTGGGGGGATATACTGAGGGAGAAAGAGAGCCTTATCCGAAGTATGTACGTAGGGTAGCATGGTTGGGGAGACTTCCCGAGGATTGGACGCCGACGCGGTATGATCCAGGCTGCGAAGTCGGTCAATGCGCGCCGCACACGACGAAGACCCCGCCGCGGGCACCCGTCTCGGCTGCAGAAAGAGAGTGATTGCATGTAATGTATCGTGTAACAAGCTAAATGTGTGCGGGTCTAGTACCAAAAATGAACGTAATGTAATGCGTAGCCTGACCGGCGAAAGACGTGCGGTAGAACGAGTGGCACTCGGCTACCTGATCCAGCGAACAACACCTTGGCGCCACAGGGCCAAGCTCCCTCCCCATGTAACCCGACGCCCGGGTATGCACCATATGTCGAGACGGCGATCTGTGCGCTAGGCCACAAAACGGCACGCATACAGGCCTATTGTCCGCCCGATCGAGCCTGCGCCAGCCACCTCTCCGTCCGCCGTTCGAGGATCAGCCTAATCCCCGTCTGCCCATTCCCTGGGTATGCCTCTCCGCCTCTTGCCCTTCCCTTCCGTTTCTCCCGGAATTCCACTGGAGCTCATGCTCAAGTGTCTCCTCAGGCTCTGCACGCTCGCCTGTCTCCTCGGACTGCCTGCTCGAAGCAACATGCCCAGATCAACCTCCCTCCCCGCCCCTTCGCTCTCACTTGAGCTGCTCGCCTCACTACTCCACTCGAAGGCTTCTCCCTCCGCGTGACCGTGCAAACTCAGGCTGACTGCGCCAGAGTCAGGATGCCGAGTCTTAGCAGCTTCGCTTTTCCGGCCCGTCCGTCTTCGGGAGGAGTCTTTTGCACGAGGCGCAGTACCGGTTCCCCGAGCACGGGGTAGTGGATAAGATACTGCAGGCGGGCTAGGCAGAGGTGACTGTGCCTTCGTCTTCTTCGGCGCCGGTGCGACTTTCCTAAATCCACGGACGCTACCAGGTTCTTCCCGAACACGACTGGTCGCTCTACTTCCCGGCGCACTCCGGCATACGACCCGAGTTCTTGACGCCTCAGCAGTAGCCGCAAGACTGGCACCCAGTAACAAAGCGGCGGGTGGTCTTGCGCGTGTACGTCCGCGTTCTTGGATGGCCGAGGATGTGGAGTCTGCCCGAACAAGCGCGGATATCGTTGATCCTTGTCTCGCCAAACCTTGTCGTAGCAACGTAGAACCCGCTCTCGATAATGATCCAGAACCGGATTTGGCAGGCCGTATCGTGACCTCGCTCGCGCTCGCGCTGATATTGCCGCCTACTCTCCTCTCATCGTCCTCCACATCCGACGCAGGTACAGGAGACTGTGGTCGTCCGACATGTGCCCCGGGCACACCAAGCAACGCCCGAGCTACACTTTCCAGCCATGTTGCCGGTAACGGTGGTTCCGTAGGATCTGGAGCGCTCTTTTTCCTCCGATGCTGTTGTTGCGGTGGGGTGTGGTACGAAGACGAGGGCGAAGGTGCATCGGTCAAGTCCACTGCATGCGTTTGTGAACGCGGAGGCGGTCTTCGCACTCCGCGATCGCTGCGCGTACGGGCCATACTGGGTGCACTAGCCATATGCCTGAGCATAGCCCGGGCGGGTGAAGCCTGCGCATACGTCGGATGCTGCGGTATGGCTACGCGTTCTGGCGGTAGCAAATGCGATACGCGCGGGTTCCGTGTAGATGTCGTCCGTGTCAGAGGCTGTAAGTCCGGTTGTGCAGATCGTGGAGATGCGTGAAGGGGATGCTGATAATTCGTCTGAGGTTGCGTTTGTGTTCGTGTTCGTGAAGGACCGGCTTGCGGCTGGGTCCGCGTACGCCCGCGCGGGCTGTAGCCCTCTCCGTCGCTCATCCCCTGCGCATTATTCTCGTTCTCGTCCGCGAACCGCCGTATTCGTGCGCTTGGACTGGCAGGCACGCTCCAGCTCTCCCTTTCTTCCCGCTTCCTCCTCCCTTCCTCCACGCTCCTTCCAGCAACCAGCCCACTCAGAAACTTCATAACTCCGCCCCTCTTGTCCTTCCCGTCGTCATTCTCTTCATCATCTCCATCGTCCATGCCGGCGCCAGGCTTCTGCGGCGTGACCACGCGAGTCTCTTTATACCCCGCTTCTCGTAGTAGATCTTCCAGCCGCTCGTATGTTCGGCTTGTGCCGCGGCGATGTAAAGGCACGCGCCCTGCCTCGCCGGCCTTGCCCAGGCCGGCGGGGTACATCGTACGCGCACGCCGTGGTGGCGTTTGGGGTGGTGAAGACGTAGGCCCGGACGAGGAAGAGTACACGAGCGAAGGCGGTGAGACAGACGTGGACTGTAAGATACAGATACTGAATCAGAATTTGCGATATGTGTATGTGGCTTGTAACACGTACCATGGTTGTTCAATCCACGAAAGAAGTTCGAGAACGTTGAGTGTTAAGACGCGTCGGTCGCGTCGGTTCGGTTCAGAGACGACCAGACAGAGAGCAACGGCGTAGGATATGTGTCGTAACCGGCGGAGTGAGAGATAGAGAGCGAGAAGATGGATCAGGCGCAGGCGATGAGCATGAGAGCGCGTTGATGAGCGTCGTCGCCAATCTTTCTGCGTCCGCTGTGGTCGCGCGCTACCTTCTTGTGGACGCGTCTCAAACATCCGTGGCGCTCTTGCCGCCGGTCCAGCTTCATCTGCAACATACTGTTATTGAGCCGTCTCTGCACATGTCCCTGGTAGTATATCGGCTAGTACACCCGCCTGTCATCAGGCGGTTCGCGGGAGAGCGGGGTTCGACTCCCCGCCAGGGAGTAGTCAAAGGTGTTCATGTCGCATTTTTGCCCCAGTCGGTGTTTTAGGCACCTATGTATGCAGTCTTACGGAACTCACACGTTCAATAAGCTAGCTCCCGCTTACAGCCTCGTATCACAGTTCGTACAATCACGTGTCTAGTCAAAAGAGCTCAGATCATCGGCCACTTGTAGAACGACAAAGCAGCTGGCCGGTCGTTCAAGTCTTTACATGAACGCGCTGTCTATCGGTGTACGGCAACGGTTGTATTGCAGATAGTCTCTCGCATGTGCACGCATATCCTCTATGAATCTGAGTCAAGGGTGTACGTATACTGGTATGCGAGTAACAACCCATTCACACCTAAGAACGCACAATCACAACTCGATGTGGCGTGCGTGATGGTCTGCTTGGGCACTATCGAAGAGGCATTAGCTCACAAGTTCGGTACCCCAAGAAGTATCAACTCACAAGGACCGTCTTATCAGGTCTACCGCACGCTCTGCGATCGCGTATACAGGGGCGGCCGTATGCGCGGCCGGGACGTATGGCAGCACGCTAGCATCGACGATACGTAGCCCCCGCGCACCGCGCACCGTCAAGTCCGCATTGACTACGCCTCGACCGGTTTTCACGTCCACGATGCGAGCGGTCGCCACGACGTGGGTGAGAGCCACCACTGTATCTCGCACATACGCTGCGATGCCGTCTTTGTCGCTGTAGTCAGGACTGCCCTCAGCGGGAGCAAGGATATAATCCCTCCATGCATCCGCAGAGTAGAACTTGTTGAGGGTCTGGACCGCGGCGACAATCAAGTCGATGTCTTCCTCCGTGCTGAGAATCCCAGGATCAATGGACGGGGCGTCGAAAACCGAGGCGCTATTGAGGGATACCGAACCTCGAGATGTCGGCGACACGAGCATAACCGCACCGCTGATGTAGTTGCCCGTCGTTGGCGGAGCCCGGGTAAGACTGGCGAACCCGTTGATGAAGCCGAACTCGAAGTGCGGGGCATCTGGTCCCGCTGCCGAATCACCATGCGCTGCAAGTATACTGGAGTCGTCAGGGAAGCGGAAGAAGCCAAGTTGGTTTCCCATTGGACCGCCTGCGAAAAGACCAGTGCCGTTCCTCTGGTACTGTGCGAGTGTGTCTGCGAAGAGCGTGCTGTTTCTGAAGACATCGTCGAATGTGTCGGTGCTGTTGACAGACCACTGGAAGAAAGCAGATGGGTGGTCGTGCAATGCTGTACCGACATCTGGCGATCCCAGAGTCGTATCGATCCCGACCACGTTGAGCTCTGAGGCGTTTCCGATGCCGGAGAGAAGCAAGAGCTGGGGCGTTGCAATGGCGCCCGCGGACAGAATGACTTCACGGCGAGCTTTGAACAGAGAGCGAGGCGCTGAAAGAGAAAGCACTTAGTTGAGACTCGTCGCTTGATGGCTTCGCCCACTGACCGGTGCTGCTCTCTGCAACTTCGACAGCTTTGAACTCAGGTACTCCATCGGCTTCAGCAGTGCGGACCAAGCGCGTAGCGCGCGTGCCGAGCAAGATATCAAGGTTCGTCCGGGCACGGACATCCGGTGATAAGTACGCCGTGGAAGAGCTGCTCCGAACGCTATTCGCGATGGACGAGTGTAGCCAACTGATCCCACAAGGATGACCGTCATTCATCTCCTTGTGGAATGGGAACTCGCCCGCCAGCTCTTGCGTTGTCGCTATAACTCTCGAGTCGATCGGAGACGACCAGCCCGATAGGCTAGTGAGCAAGGGTCCATCGCCGTGCCAGGTAGGATCGAATTGTCCAGTGACGTCGTGCGCATCCGCGGACGCGACGTGCTGTTCACCCTAGGAGAATATCGGGTCAGTCCGACCATAAGGCGAGGGAGAAGGGCATGGCGTACTCGTAGAAAGTAGGGCACCATATTTTCCCACGACCAACCTTCTTCCCCGGAAACCGCAGCTAGCCGATCCCAGTCGTCGGATGCACCACGCGTGTAGATCATGCCGTCTGTAGGGTGCACTCAGTTTGACGCAATCTGGTGGACAGGAACGTCTTGTGCAACAAGTACTCACTCGTGGTGCTGGTACCCCCAAGCACGAACCCGCGAGGGTAGGGAAGCTCACGGCCACCCAACGCAGCCTGCGAGACCGTCGTATAGTTCCAGTCAAATATCGAGCCCGTCCGTTCGACTTCGGGCGCGAAGAATGGCACCGTGATAGCGGGGTTGGATGGATCATCACTATAGACCACGTCAGTCTGAATGGAGTACTAGTCGACACTGGCTTGCAAAACTCACATCCCACCCGCTTCAACGAGAAGCACCGACACGGCATCATCTTCCGTCAGTCGGCCAGCAAGAACAGAACCTGCAGTGCCTCCGCCTATGATGATGAAATCCCATTCTGACCCTTGCGGACTGGCCACAGACTGATGTAAAGTGGCCTCAGTATGCTGTGGTAGCAGGGAGACATGGAGAACTAGCCCTAGCAGACAGGTCAACGACATGGGCACAGAAAATAATTGTGAGCGGTAGCCGCCCGGATTTCTTTCATTTTGGGCGCTCTCCCCCATCTGGCGTTACGGAGGATCGTCTCCCTTGATCCGACTTGATGAGGCCGGGCGCATGCGACAGGGTCTCCGGCTGATGATGTCTGGGCCAACACAGGATTGGCGTGAACCAGACGCAATATCGAATGAGAAAGGGGTGCGAGATCGTTATGCACGCGCGATGATGGTAGGCGGGAACAGGCGAGCGTTCCGCAAGCCGCACGGCCACTGTTACTACGCGCCGAGCCACCGTGACTTGCACTCAGCGTCCATGCGCGGCCGCTGGCAATTGCGCTGGCATACTATGGTTTGCCTCGGAGTGCCGTGCTCAAACTGGTGATGTCTTTGGAGACCCGCAGTCCCTCTCAGATAAAAAGTCGCTGTCATTGCTAAGTCGCTCTCAAGAGGGCTTGCTCATTATCCGAGTTGCCAGAGGGCCGAGGCGCCACCGCTGTTGCACAAGCTTAAAAATCAAGAAGACGCATTCAAGACGTGAAGTCGTCAGCTTTCACGGTCAGGATCGACTACATTGACAACCCCTTCGGGAATGCCTAGTGTCGCAATCTCATGTTCTTCATCTGTCATATCCGAATTTCGCTCCGCCGTCTGCAAGTTGCGATTGTACATATGCAGAGATGGGCTATGACCCGGGGATAGGATAGGGTTTGACTAAACAGCGAAGGACTTATCGTAGATACTAGACTGTGCATGTGGGTCACTCCGGGCAAGCGAAGCTAGCTCGATAACATGCTCGGCACTAGCCATATGGCGAATGTCATTGATAGCAGGCTGTAGGCGTGACTCAACAGGATACAGTACTGCAGTGACAAGCGAGGACTCACAATAACCTTACAGACTCCATCCAGGTCCTCGTCAATATTGGGACACACGGCCGATGATCTTGTCGTATGAGCCCCATCGCCGATATGTCCGAGATCCCGTAAGGTGCGAGCCTCTGGATCGCCAGAATTCTCCAAGCTTGGTTGAATATGCGGTGTCCTCAACTGCGAGAGGGAGCCACGCTCGTTGTGCCGGTCGAAGGCCTTGGCAGAGTCGTGCACCATGTGCTGACGACGAGAGGCGCGCCCGTTCAGTGTAGATAGGAGACTGTTGGAGTATCTGGGTTGTAGTATGAGTGAGGAACTTGACCGTGATCACATCGAGAGGACATACAGTTTTCCTATGATGATACCTCTACTCCTGGTTAGTAAAGAAGATGATAGGTCAAGAACTTATGCTTACGCCGCAACGTAGTAACGGTTATTGATCTTCCAAAGAACCAGTACGAGTCCCGCAGCGGTAGTGGATACCAGCCCAGTTTGCACTGAATGAATGATGAGGCGATCATATAATGTCTGGGACTGCGGCCAGATTGTCTGGGATTTAGCACGATGAAGCTGTCATAGGGCACAGAGATTCAGCTAACGTCATCCGAGGGTCAAGTGAATGGACCTACAAGCCAGACCATGCAACTAGATATGACGATGTCGCCGGTGAAACTTCCACAAAGCCAGACGTAAATCTGTCAACGGAGTGTCAGCGGTCGTCTCAGCATTGTCCCTATGGCCGGAGAGTGCATAAGTACATCAATGTTGGCCGTCCGGGTACTAAGGTAAGACAGGTTGTCGTGTTTCACATATTTTATGAGACTCTATCCGCGTACGTTCCAAATAAGCTCGTGATCGGTCGGCTTGACAAGAAGCGGGAGGCGTACAAAAACAGTCCCGTGTAGGGACGCGATAAACTGCATTAGAGACAGCTGCGGTATGTCAGAAGAGCGACAATAAATGCAAACTTCGCTGCCCACCATGATAATGACACATGCGAAAGCCCTTAGTATCCTGTTGCGCGTGATTACCCATATACGCCTATTGGTAACTTATCAGCGGAAGACCGCAGGTACTCATGGGACATACCAGGCGTAGAATAGTTGTACCGCAAGGGCAGCTATACAAAGAGTTCATGGGTGAGTAATCCAATCATCCAAATGTCCATTCTGAACTAACCACAACCAGCGAAGGGACTAATAAGGGCTTCGCCCCATGTCAACTGGGACAAAGCATCGTAGTCCCCCCAGCTATCAATGGCAAAATGCCAAAGATCACGCGTAGTAACCACCGTCTGAGCTATATCCATGCAAGTGACAAAAACCACTAGTAGGATATGAGCGAGCCACATGAGAGCGCATTCAATAAAAGATGCCAATTACCTAACGACCGAAGCCACCTGGAATCCCCTAACCTCTTTCGTTCCTTATCGTAAGCATCTATAGAGAATATTGAGCATTTGGAGAAGTGTGGCGAACGGGTACGAACATAATTGGACGAGTAACGTTCCCATGAGAAGCCAGTTGAAGCTACATCCGATGATCTACTTGAAGGTCAACCCACGTTCCATATTGAAGAGCCAGAAGCGCTCACATATGGCCCAATGCTGTTATACATGTAAGCACCAATCATTGAAGATAGAAGCAAGTAGTCAGAGCGACATACGATGAACGAGGATCCGCGCGCTCGGGAGGGGATGAAGCGGGTTCCATCACCGGTCCACTAGTCATGGCTGGGGCGTCAGGTCAACGTAGCAGCTATTTATGAGCAGCAGCGGCCCTTAAATATCCATGCCTCTGCAAACGGTTGATGTTGTAGCCTCTGCCCCGCGATCTTGATGACTGAGACAGAAGCCGTATATGGCATGTGAGCGGCACCCGATGGGTAGACGGAGAAGCTATACGGTGTGTGCGTACCAGACGCCATCCATCTTTTGAATCCCGCATGATCCGCGATAGATCATGTTTCCGTTCTTCTGTAAGCTAGACGTAGCCCAGCGAGTATCAGCACGTGCGTCATTCCGGTCTCGATCCTGCTAAGAACGGAAAAGCAAGCGCGACAAGGACGGAAGTATGCTGTGGCCGAGGTCCGGGGCAGTGTCTGCGTCCATGAGAGATCGGGTTTGACGGCGACTTACTTCGACGGAGACACTGATTAATACGTCAGAAGCTGGATTCAGGGTTTGTCGAGGCATGGTTCCTATTCACAACTGGCGGTATCGTCTCACAGGTGTCATCATGATACAGGCTTGCTGAAGAAGCCGGCAGATCTTGTGGATGTCTAGGAACACCCTTGCACGGACGCAAGAATATAGATAACATAGTGGTGTAGAGCCAGGTATCTTCGGACGTCCGTATAACTCCGGCTTAGGACTATGGTGGGGCAATGGTGGTTGACGCTAAGCGCCATCAAGCCCAAATCAAGCCAAGCGGCGAGCGCTGAAAGCGCGGATATCTCGGGCCGCTCCAAGCCGAACCAGCGACACAACCGAACCCGGAGTCGGCAGTCGCCTCCACCATCGTAGAGCCTCGCTTTATCCGAGATGTATGAGCGCGATATGTTGCAACTGCGTTGGAGAGGGAGTGCGGTGCGTATCATGCGCTGTCTTCCTCGGGACCACTGAGCTGACGTCAGTTCACCGTGCTGGCGATTAGGTGACTAGCGCCACTTTAGTACTGGGGCCCTACTATACTGCCCAGTCTGCATGTGAGATCTCCTCTGTCTCAAGTACCCACGCATTCCCCCATAAGCTGAGATCAGTGTGGGAGCCCTCGTTAGGTTGACTAATATTCGATGATGACGCATATCAGAGCCTTCGGCGATATGCATACGGTCACGGCGCAAAAGGCTGCATACGCCTACTTGAGTGCTCAGTACGTTCAGTCGTCTACCGGTCTCGACGTGAGGATGGCCGATCTATGTTCCTCTGCCACCCCTTCCAGCCCCATTTCCGATCTTGCCGGGCTCGATCCCGTCAATGATGATTGGGTGTTCCCCATCCACTCCCTCGTGCGCCCAGCCGCGTGTCAAACGTGATCTCTGCACCTTCGCTTCTCCCGTTCTTTCAGATGACGGGACAGAGTCGGGACAGCCATGGGGTGGGCAGTGTGGGATGTGAGAGAGATTCGTCCGAGCGTGCGGGTAGCGTCGACGCTTATAAAACCGAGGCGCGATCTTGCCTTACTCCATCTGTTACCTGGCAGCGATGGCGTCTATCACATCCATAGGCCCAGCGCCCATTGTTCTCGCTGGTCTATGCGCTCTCTTCGCGTTCGTCTTGGCGATGCGTGGCATGCCTCGGAGAAGTCGAGCTCGGGGCAACCTATCTCTTCCACCCGGTCCGGTGAAAGCACCCATAATCGGCAATCTACTCGACGTGCCAAGGTCTCAACCTTGGGTGTCCTATCGCGATTGGAGTCGCAAATACGGCGCGTGACCGACATTCATGTGAGGTACCGGCGGGCACTCATCGTGTTATAGATTCGGACCTCGTCCATTTTTCGATATTGGGCAAGCATACAGTCATAGTCAATTCGGCGCATGCTGCAAACGAATTATATGTAAAACGGTCCTCGCGCTACTCTGACAGGTCTGTTCTGTTTCTTCATATGCCTTCCTTTGACTCATGTGTGAACGATCTTGTAGACCCCCTATGACGGCTATGAAGTTGTAGGTGCTCTGCCCGACTCACGGAATATTTGCACTGAATCAGGGTACTTGTAGACTCGGCTTAGAGTGGCCGATCGGCATCGTTCCTTATGGGTCTACGTGGCGTCTAGTGCGCAGATTGTTCCACGAGGAAACGCGGCCGGAAGTTTATGCTACGTACGAATCGTACAGGGAGAAAGCCGTACATGCATTTCTGCTCACGCTGATCACTCAACCGCAAGACTTCAAGATGAACATCAAACAGTGGGTGTTTCTGTTGCCGGATTGAATTTGATATTTATCTCAGTCACGACCGTAGTCTGGCTGGCAGGATCCTTATGCGCGCGGCATACGGGTTCGACATACGCAGTCAGGACGATCCCTATATCGAGATTGCCGAAAAGACTCTCGGTGCTGCCAATGTCGCAGCGTCCTTCAGTGGGATTGTCCTTGATTTGATACCCATTTGTACGTGTTTCTCTCCTGGAGTATACAAGCGCACGCTGGGATACTGAGCGAGCTCGGGCAGTGAAATATATGCCCACTTGGTTTCCCGGTGCAGGTTTCAAAAGATATGCGTCCAAGACTCGACCAGAGGTTAGCCGAGCAGTATTGGACAAACCTTGGGCAGTTGTTGCAGCTGCGAAGGTATGTTCTCAAAGCCGAAGACGCACATATCCCCTGACATGACCTCCCTTCCAAATAGCGTGGTGATCTAAATGGCAGCGAGGGCTCTTCGGTGGCCGGCAACTTGCTTGACAAATATGGCGACGATTCTTCACTGCATGAGGTCTTGAAGACTGTGCCAGCCACAGTGTATCTCGCGGGAGTTGAGACGGTGAGTCGGATACAGTCTCAGCCGACGGGAAGATCTGATGTTATCCCACCAGACGGTCTCGAGTCTCCTTTTCTTTTTCATGGCCATGGCCCTATACCCAGATGTACAGAAGAAGGCGCAACACGAGCTCGACTCTGTGTTGTGCGGTGCGCTTCCCACCCTTGTAGATCGCACAAGATTGCCGTATACAACAGCACTGGTCAGTGAAGTCTTTCGGTGGCACCCTGCAGTACCCCTTGGTCAGTGCACGTCTTACGCTTTCACGACTACGTGTTCTAAGCATTATCAGGCATCCCACATTCTGTGACTGAAGATGATATCTATGAAGATATGCGCATCCCAGGAGGTTGCATGGTGAGCTCCCGGTCCTTATGCAGGCTAATGATATTCATCCGAAGAAATGCTTGCCTAGGTGATTGGCAATATCTGGGCAATTACACACGATCCTGATCAATTTCCTCGACCCGAAACCTTCAATCCTGCGCACTTCATATCCACAACCGATGGTGGTATGTACTCGCTCGACGATAGCAAGACATATGGATCGCAGGGGACCCCGTTTCCCGATGACGCCTTTGGTTTTGGACGACGTCTGTGTCCTGGTCGTGACATAGGTGTATCAAGCATCTGGCTGATTATTGCGTCCGTGCTATGCACGTTCGATATCAGTCAGGTCAAGGATGAGAGCGGTCGCGAGGTGCCGATCTCGGACTCGTGCACAGATGGGTTGATCTCCTATCCTGGTCCTTACGAGTGCTCGATAAGGCCACGGAAGGAGGTAAATGTTGAGAACTTGGTATCGCGGAGCGATTGATATATAATGCGCATTGATCGTAGTAGAAGTCCTGCAAGCTCAGTAGTGTTTCGGTAACGATGATCAATAAAGACTCCTCTTCTGCAGTCGACGGTCGGTATACGTGCAACACGATTGGATCTTGGTACTCCTATGCACCGGCAACATGAAATCAGTTACCACACAGTGTTTCACAACGAGATTATCGTCGGGTCTAGGGAATCCCAGCTGCCATGTGCAAGCCCCGAAAACACCAGCACGAGACCATGAAAGTATTGCGATCATATCATATCACGGTCCAAGAATGAACGTGGTACGATACAGGCCCAGCAGTCGTCGAGTAGGAAGTGCCTCGGTGTACGTTTGCGATAGGACAGCGTGTGATGCATGATGGACGACGGCCAGCAACATCGGGGAACGGTTGTGCCTACAACCATGTCGAATCTATCTCGGGCTCTTCGGAAATCATTGAAGCAGTCAGATTCATAGCGAGGGAGGATGTGGAGACCGCGGACACCGTACTATTGATACCACCGCCGTATACGAAGGCCGAGGCAGCCGCCCATTCGAAGAGCTCCTCCTCTTCTGGGGTGTGCTCGGGCGTAGTCCACTTTCTCAGCGCCCACCGGACGAGCACCTTATTTCGGCGATGAGACACTGCAGAAGATGAGAGGAGATCTGACGATCCTCCGCATGCTCGTATGTCCCACAACTCTGCGCAGGGCGAGGGGAGCCTAGCAGAAGTGTCGAAGGCAGATGTCGATGAAAGGCAGAGCCCTAGTAGCTAAAGCTTCATCGCTTCTGAAAGTAACTCAGAGTACAAGAAAGACGATTAATCGTTGATTCTTTGCGCTCAGTCTTCATAGGCCATACGAAGTGATCACCATCATGGAGAGCAAAACGCGTCGGCGCAAGCCTTCCGAGCCGCGTCTTCAACCGGCTGAAGCCGGCTGATCGGACGCTGCCGCGTGGACCGTGAGCAAATGACGCCTGAACCAGATGACCGTTCCGCGACTGGAAGCTTGGAGGCGGCCACGTCTGTATGGACACCGTTCACATCGTCCGCGGCGCGTATGGAATAAATGATCCACTGGTTCGTGCCCTTCCTCTCCGGCACGCACATGAGTCGGATGCGCGCCTCGTGTAGGCTTCCTCAAGGGCAACCACGTCAATACCCCTCACAGTGCTCCATTACTACAGCCGCTGCCTTTGGTCCGTAGGTCGGCGAAAGTACTCTTTGCGGGTAGTTGACATATCCCATTCCTCTTAGGGACCCTAATTGTCAACTCAGATACCGCGCGGTATCGAGAGCGGCTATAGTACCTGAGGCGTACCTCCGGCGATAGACTGCGTTTCAGGATTTGATCTATTGTCGCACTGTGCGAGTGCGCGGTCCTTCCACGTTTCGTGAGTCGACGCGTTGGGCTTCGATAACCAAAACTGATGTGATCCGCCTCTTGTAGAAAGTATAAATAACTCAAGAGACAGCATTCGTTTTCACGCTTCGGCCTCTGTCGATTCGGAAGCACAATCCGCTAATCGCCTGCCTCTCAGCAACCCCGTTTCACCATGTATCGGGTCGTTACTTGTCTTTGCGCCCTTTCCATCGGGTATTCGCTCTTCCTTCGACGCCGACGAAGATGCGGGCCGCTGCCCCCAGGTCCTGCCGGTCTGCCTTTCATCGGCAATATTCTCAATTTCCCAAGAGCCAAACCATGGGTCGTATTTGGCCGTATATGGGGGATGGAGCACGGTGTGTCGCGCAAGTCGGACAAGACGTGCAGCCGATGCTCATGACGATACAATCGTAGGGAGGATCATGTCTGCCCGCCTCTGGAGTCAAGTGTATATCATCATCAACGATTTCGACGTGGCCGTAGAACTTTTAAGCAAACGAGGCAACATCTACGCGAATCGCCCTACGAGCATCATGCTCGAGCTCGCTAACTACCATCATGGACTGGCTGCAGAGCCGTACGGGCAAAGGTGATTCGAACGATCTCTACAGTGGATTCAGCTTATCCGATGGCCATAGATTCCGTGATTATCGCAAACTGTTGAGTCGTGTGCTAGGAAGTCGAACCGCTGTGAGAAGATACCAAGACGTCGGCGAGTATCACACGACCAGGCTGCTGCAACATCTCCTAAAGCTGCAGCCGGGTGGTAAGGATACACAATCGGTCTGCTCAATCGTCCAATGTTTTACTCAAGCGCTGAGACACGTTAGGTCATACACAAGTGCATGCCCTTGTATCATCTTCACTCGGATTGCGCTCACGCTCGATAGGGCTATCGGCGAATTCGCTTTACACATCACCTATGGTTATATAGCCAACCGAGATCTAGCTTCGGAAGACCCTTTCATGGTGTTGGCCGAACAGGCGAGTACCGAGGCATGATGCCGCGCAATGCTGGCTGATCGAATAACTTCGTAGGCACAATCTCAATTTGCCACACTTACTGCTCCTGGCAGATACATGGTCGAGTACTTTCCTTTCCTCCGATACCTTCCGACTTCGGCACCGTTCGCAGGATTCAAACGACTGGCTGCCTCGTGCTCTGAGACGTCGCGCCTGTTCCATGATTTGCCTTATCAGTACACGCAAAGACACCTTGAGGCTGGGGATGCGTCGAGCTCATTCGTAGCCGACGTACTTTCGGATGAAGATGCCGTTGACCGCGAGTATGTCAAATGGGTAGCAGGATCCTTCTATGGCGGTGCGTCGATCAATATGTCGTTCGCTCTGCACTTACGAGTCACGCATGTGATTTCTCAGGAACTTCTGACACAGTGCGTAGTTCAGATGATACGATAATACTTACTCGTCATCTCAAATGCCGTCTCAGACTACCACCGCTCTCTCGGCGTTTTGTATCGCCATGTGCCTCCATCCCGAAATTCAGCACCGCCTCCATGCTGAGATCGACGAAGTCACGGGTGGACACCGTCTGCCCACGTATGGTGATCGGCCCAACCTCCCATATGCGGAGGCTGTTATCAAAGAGGTTCGCTTTGAATGCCTGCTCAGATCTTCCATTATCTGATTTATACGAGGTACTGCGTTGGTTGCCAATTGCGCCGTTGGTGCGTGCAAGGCAGCTCAAGTCGTCCAAGTTTGTAGAACAGAGGTACCGTAGGCACTCCCACATTGTGTGACTCAAGACGACTACTACGGCGGATACTACATCCCACAGAACAGTATTGTGCTTACCAACTGTTGGTACGGTCCCTTGAGCCTATAAATGCGTGTCTCCGCTTACGACCGGTTTAGGGCGATGCAACATGATGAGAAAGCTCATCCCGAGCCTTCCATCTTCAAACCTGAGCGGTATGATGGAAGATCCTTTGGCGTGTGAGTGTCGCTGACTGCACCAGGTTTCTCGGTCCCAATCCAGAGCGTGATCCTGCGAAAGAAGTTTTCGGTTTCGGAAGACGGTACAGAATCCCAGATGATGCTGGATGATATTCACGACTAAAGCCGTCGTCCTAGCTCTTGCCCTGGTCTTCATCTCGCCGACATGGTCATATTTATTGCCATCGTCAAGATTGCCGCTGCCTTCAACATCAAGGTGGCTATCGGTCTGGACGGGCAGCTCGTCATGCCCTCGCATGACACCGATACAAATGGACCAATTACGTACGCGGCCTTGAGTCAGAACTCGTTGCTTTCGCTGAACTACTGTCTGCCTCACAGACTCCCCGACGCCTTCCCTTGCACATGGGAGGCTCGGTTGCCCAATCTCGGGGCGACTTTGTCGAAGATTCTTGATTCGTCACGGTTCTCTCACAATAAGAGAGGTGTTACCAATGAAAATGACCAGCAAATCGGGCAAGGCATACTGTAGTCATATTGCGTGACTTTACGAATTTGACCCTGCGCGAACGACTTCATACAACTTTACAAGTCAGCCATGTATTTACGACAGAGAGATCCTATGGTGATGCAAGTCGCCCAACGTGAATACGTAATATGAGCTGACGGGAATAGTGATCGCAGGCTCTCTCACCCAACTAGAACTCAGCATCACCCTCCCACGACCGCCTGAGCCGGCAGGAAGAAATCTGAGATCTGGGATAATCTACATCATCTAGGATCCCTAGGTATCCACTAAACTGACATTTTTTCGAGGTGGGCTCTCGTCTGGACGCTCTGGACGTTCTGGACGAGCTGGGCGCGACTGAGCTTGGTCTGAGCGTTCTGAACGCCGTGCCCAGCGCGCCCAGACGGCTTCCCAAAGTGCCGCAAGTTGCGGCAGGTTGCGGCGCCCGCGTTCCAGTTACAGCCGTTTTCAATTACTGTAAGTGCGGAAACGCGAACCGCGTCGACGCGCCTCGGAAGAACGGCCCAGAGCCGACGTGTCCCCAGGTTCGATCCCGAGCTCCCGACGAACTATTACTTGCGTTGTATTCATGCTGAAACCTCCTAGAAATTCTGACAGTAGGTTGAATATCCTTTAAAGACAGTACAGTGAGTTTTTTGCGCAGATCTTTAGGCCTAGGGAAGAGGAATAAATCGTACAGGTGAGTGGGAGCTTCGGGAATCGAACCCGCTCCATCGTGGGAGCGCATTTCAAGCGCATTTGCCGAGGTCGCGGCGATTCGCGATTCCGCACTTCATTGTAACCTATTAATTCCAAACTGCTCGACGCGGCGTGGCAACTGAAGGCATCCCCAGGCGATTCACGACCGCGTACTATGGCGGTCAGAACGTTCGGAAATTCGAGCATTAGTAGTATCACCCTCCTCTGCATTTCTTCACGACATTCGGGCGACTTAATTACCGAGTTTGCGCGACTTCATTCCCATCTCTTCTCTGTCGCGCCGAAGTCCTGAGCCTGCGTCCCCCGCTCTCCCCTCCCGTTGGCCGTCCCGTCTGGGCGTATGCGTACCTGCGGAGCAGAGCTATCCAACGGTATCCTATTTGTGGCAGATCGAGCGAGGACGAGGGAAGGGCGGAGGAAGCG